CCTCCGCGGCCCGGAGCCGCCCCGGGGCTCCCGCCGCCGCTCGGAGCCGGGTGCGCGGAGCGACCCTCGCGTCCTGCGGGGCACGGGCTGCCCGTGGGGCCGGCAGCGCCGGTCCCGGCGCGAGCTGCCCGGGGTTCATTCCCGGTGTTACTTGGCGATGCCTTCGCGTAACGGCGCGTGTCGGAGCGCTGCGGCCGCTTTGTCCGGAGCTCCGCCGGGCCGCGGGAAGCTGCCGGCCGGGAATGGCGCGGGGAAGGAGCCCGGAGCCCGGCTGCGGTGTTGTAACCGCCATCTGCCCCTGGAGGCCCCGCGGGAGGGACGTGAGCGTCCCGGGGGCTTCGGTGCTCGCACCGGAGCTGCCTTTAATTTCAGTTTGCACCGTTTGAAAGGCCCTTTTTTTATTTTATTTTTATTTTTTTTTTATTTTTGTCTTTTATTTTCCCTTTTCCAAATAGCTGTTGGAGCTGTGGGTTTTATTCTGTTACTGTTGACACATCAGAAATATCTAAACTAATGAAAGTCAAGATCTGCTCTGTCGACTTGGTTGAGGTACTGGACTGGTGGGAAAGGGAGAAGAGGGATGCGTTTAAATTTTTAATAGGATATTTTCTGCAATTACAGGGATTAGTAGTTATTTGTAGGCACTGGCAGTTTTAGGTTGGTTGGTACTGAGGTGAAACTCACGATCAACTGCTCTATCTCCTGCTCCTTATCTCAAGGGAAATGGCGAAATGGCTTTCTACAGTATCTAAAACCCCATTTCTAAACACAGAGGTTGCTGGGTTTTTGAAATTATAGAGTAATTGTAGAGTTACTGCACATTCATTCCTAGTTTGAGTGAAAAATTTAACTCTATTTGTCGTTTGATTGACTTTCTATGTGTGTATTAATCAGTATTGATGCTAGATACAGATTAATTTTTTCATCATTTTCTCTAGATCTTGATGCAGAGGTGTGGAAGAAGTTGCCTGTCATATGGTTCATTTCATGAACTCATTGGTTGATTTATCTTGCTTTACTAATACTGGTTTTCATTAAGGTCTTACAATTAATGATCTGTATTTGATTCAGAAAGCCTAGTAAGCTTAGTGTAAAGTGGACTTTTCCAACAATTATTCAAAAATAAAAAAACAAAAGTAGTATCAGCAGTTTCCTAAGAATGTTTTGTGCACTACTTAGGGAATTAAGGATCAGTAAATTATGTTGATCTGATAAGGGCAAGTGGGAACACTGATTTAGCAGTAATGACTTAACTTTTGTGAGGGTCTTATCTAGCAATACATTATGAGCTAAATCACGTCTGTTACTTGAAATCTCTTGTTTTCGTTTTGAAAGGTTTTGTGTTTTTTGTTCAGTATAATTCAAAAAAATCAATTTAATATGAGCTTAAACCACGTTTGTCAGATGTACTGCTACAGCATTTAAATAAAAGGTAAATTTCATGGTTTTAGGTTAATGTTATCTTCTGTAATTCAATCACTGTAGGTTTTGTATTATTATTTTATTCCAGCACAAGTGCTCTCGGTATTGTTTATTGACCTGTAAAAGTTTTATTTTTAAACTGATTTATATGTACTGTGAATAATAAATATTGTTAAAGGAATATATCATTAAATGGCTACTACTGCAGTTTTGTTCCTTGGAACTTGGAATCAGTTTTGGATATAAAGCATGTGTAATTAAAAGTAACAAAGATCAACATTTATATTTTCTTTTTCTTCATAGTTTGGATGTGCTTCCAAGAGTGACTTGCCCAAACCATCCAGACTCCATTTTAGTGGAGGACTACAGAGCTGGGGATATGATCTGCTCTGAGTGTGGCCTGGTAGTAGGTGAGTAGCTGGTCACGTTTTTGTGACTTACCCAAGAGCTTAAGTTGTGCGTAAATGTGTTTTGTCACAAAACTTACTTGTGACAACTTGAGTGTTTGAAAGTTTTTCTTGATGCTTAAATACTACCTTTACTTTACCATTACTTGATGCCTAAATATTTCATTTTATTGTATATATGTTGGTTTTAAGCTTGCCATTTGGAGTAGTGATAATGACCGATTAAAATGATTGGTGTCACCTTAAAATTGTATAATTTGGATTGTAGATACCTTGGCATTTTGGATTAGAATATTGTGGAGTCCTAGTCAGTGTTCTATCTTTAATTATGAACAGGAAGGTATAAGAAATGTAATGAAAGCTCTTAGTCAAATAACTTGCTTGAAAAAAAAATGTTTCCCTTGGTTAGAGGTTATCTTCTGCCCTCAAGGATGACTCTTTATGTCCTTGCCAACACTTGTTGTGTTAATTACATTTCCTAAGGCTTTTAATGCTATCAAAAGTAAGTAGCCAGTTTTTCCTTTGGAATTTTGCTGATCTGTTTTATTCATTTTGTCATGTGAAACTTCTACAGACTGAATTATATGTATAAATAAAATGGAAAATTTAAAGCCAAAAAGCCTTTGAATTGTTGTCTTTCTGTTTCAGTGAGAGAGGGGAAACCATGTTGTTGTGTAACATACTGTATGTTTGCTTTTATGTTTGCTTTCTTTAAGGTGAACATTCTCTTTTTTGCTTTTATGTTTGCTTTCTTTAAGATGAACATTCTCTTTTTTTTTTTTTTTTTTTTTTGCTTGTCAAACATGGGAAGCTTTGTGCTCTGGTAGAACCGTTCTTCATTTATTTCCACTATATATTTTTGATTTGCTTGGTGACCAAGATAGAATGTTGTGGGTGTTTAGATGATTTATTCAATGGTATTAAATATTTGTATTTCTTTTACCCCTCTCTCCTACAGTGTAATGACTTGCCTTTGGCTCTTGTATTGAATTAAAGATTTTCATTCAGCTGCTAACCTAGAGGTAAAGGCAAAAAATTTAGTACCTATTCTTTAAGCCAGATGCATTTGTTTTTTATGGAAAAAAACCCCCCATTTTCCAAATAGTTTATTAAAATAAATATCAAAATATTAAAATACAGGTACTAGTAATTTTGTTTAAGATGTTAAGTCCATTTGGAAGACTGTAAGTGAAGTGACTGTCTGGACCAGGGAGCAATAATTGCTTTGGTAAAGAAGGACTGGTTTCAGTTGTATGAATTCTCATGGCTGAAGGTACTTGAATCATGACCAGTTGGCTTGTTGAAAATGCAAATGTCCACAGTGATATTTCCTGTTGAAATATGGTAATAGGCTTCTAGGCTGATACTTAAACATATTCTCTGTATGACTGCTCTAGAAGTTGAACCAAAGCTTAGAAAAGTCTGCCTTGATTAGTTCATAACTGTCGAGGTGATGATGTCTGTAGAGAGAGAGGGAAAGATTGGGCTTCCCTGTTGATAATGCATTTTGTTTTAGAAACTTCACAGAGTCTACCAAAAAGCTGACTTTATGTACATAAGGTACAGTCCAGTCACAAGGTATTCTTGTTTTACAGATTTACTTCTTGCATTTGGAGGTTTCTTCAGTTCAAGTAATCAGATTTTTTAAATGATCAAAATCATTAATATACTAATACAAATTTTGGCTGAATTGAATTTTTCAAGGACTTCAGTTTAAAGCGGATTTAGATCTCTCTGCAGGCAAAATTAATAGTAGGGAAAACTTTTTTCTTAAGTATGTTTTTTTTTTTTTTAGGTAGGACTCTTAATTTGACATTGTTTTTAACATTTACTTTTGTTGTGCTAATTGCTGTTGTTTTGTCTTGTCTTCAGCATTTTTGTTTTTTCATGTATGTCCAGTTTATTACTTTGGGTAGACAGCAGCTTGTTTGGAAAACCAGTTAAATCAGATGAAGATAAGTAATTGAAGAGTGCGTGTCCAGCAGAAGTGTGAATATTTAACATAGTTTCCTTTCTTGATCTTTAGGAAACTTAGTGGAGGAAAAAAACGATGCAATTCTTGATTACTGATTTTTTTATGAGTTAGGGGTAATCTAAAGGAATGAAGACAAAATCTTATTCCTAAATGACAAAACCGGTATGTGTTTGTTGTGATCTCCATACCACCCATGTTCACCTTAAGAGAGCTTGTGATTTCACTTCTTACCCATAGACAGAAAGATGGTGAATTTGTATTTAATTTCTTTGAGTTGCATAGAGTTGTGTGTAGCTCACGTGAGTAGGACTTTGTCATATAGCATGGTGGGGATTGAAAGTCAGATGTTTTATCGCTGAAGAAGATCAGTCAGATTAAAAAAAAAAAAAAAAAAAACTAAACAAAAACACTTCAAACCCTAACTCTGTGTAACCTGTAGCCAAACAGATGTTAGGTTCACTCTGAAACATCGTCGTCATTTCAGTGTCTCCAGAGCGCTGCTGGTGTTGCTGAGCACATTGGTAAATACTGGATGCATGCAGAGCTTACAGGGACGTGTACAGGACACAGTGAGATCATTTACCTTTTTTTAATATTATTTGTCTGAAACTGTAGTGAACCGTCCTTGACTAAACTAAGTGATTTTCCCATTAAAGTTCCTATGTGGTCAAGCACTGAAGTTTTCAAGTTTTTGTAGAGAAAATGGATTTTTGTTTGTTAAGTGTAAATTAGAGCTTGTCATAGGATAAAATAGCTGGTACATTGCTTCCAGAACTTGAAAAGTAACCTTTCTTTCCTTTTTGGGAGGTGAGGTGAAATTGATTGAAATTAGTATTAAGGCTGAAGTTGCATTGGTCGGTTACCTAGCTAAAAGGGAAAGGTGAAGCAGTAAGAAAGGGACTGTGGGTGGCAGAGGGAGCTGATCCTCTCTTGTAACAGTCAAATCCAGTGTTTTAGGTAGACCTGTATGTTGGATTTTTTTTTCTTTTTCCAAATGAGACCTTAAAAGGATATTTAAATAGCACTGAGAATAATATCTAAATTTGGTTAGCTTCTGTTTTGTCTTTTCCTGGTCACTGTTTCCTGCTTGCTAACTTTCCATCCTGCTACTTGCTTCCTTTTGTATGAAAAGCACTCAGACCAAAACCGCGATTATCCACAAAATTTATTTATTCATCTAGATTAACATGCATCTGAAATGTTGTACAAGTATATCGCAAAATTTGCAATGGTCTTCTGTTTTGTTCTATTTACTGTTCTCAGGAAAAGTCATTCTAGGTTATATGGTGTGTGTATATATATATATATGAAATGGTAATATATCTATGTTAATATGCTGGGTTAAGAGTTTGTGCAGAAAGTTCATAGTTTGGACAGAGGTAGTTCTGTGTACACCTAAAATGTTGACCATAGCTCATTCTTTTAGATAGACTTGGCACAGGGAGAAGTCTCATTGAACACCCCAAGGCTAGTAAATCTCTCTTGGCGGGTATTTTGCTTACTGCTTTTCAGAAAAGACAGTAAAAAAGGATAATTCTGCTGATGAACCAGAAGAGATTTAGGAAGGCAGAAGAAAAGTAGAATACAAAGCACTGACTTTTCTTAGTATAACAAAAAAGAGGTAAGCTGAATTTCGATCAGGAGTTCTAAGCAAAAGGCTGGTGGCATGTGCAGCTGTGTGCAAGAGGGGAGCTGGACCAGAAGTGTGGCTGCAAATCTGTGATGGTTGTGACTGTTGACAGCAGAAGCATGTAATGATTTGGAGAGAATGGTCTGCTTTTTCTGTCTTTGTTGGAAAATGCTGTTCAGGAACTCTTACTAAAAAACAATTAGTTTTTCATATAAAGTTGACACCTGCTTAATGATATTCAGAGTTTAGTATCCATTTAAAGGTTTCCCCCCATCTGCCAATGCAAGAGTGTTTGTTTAGTCTTGGACTACTTCCTTCCTCATTTAAATGTTCCTTCTGTTATTAATCAAAATGAGAAATTGTGCATTCTCTTCCTACCTCTGGAATGAAATTAGGGTTGCAAGGTAAATCTTGGAAGTGCTGAAGTTAAACCCTGAGTCTGAATTGATGGATACATCTTGCATAGTACACAGGTCATGCTGTTGAGACTCATAACAGCTTAAGTCAACAAATGTATGCCTGATACTGTGTCCTGCATATTTTTTTCAACATACAGGAAGGAAAAATATTGTTGTGAGCTTTTTATTTAAAGTGTCTTAACTAAGTAGGAAGGGAACACATTTGTGATTTAAGACTTCCTTTAAGACTTCTGTAGGGTTTCACTCTAGGTTGTTGTAATGTGCTGGAGACGCTGCAGTGAATGTGGCATTCTCGTCATCCATTAAGTATTAAGAGCTAATTGATTAGCTTTGCCTGCTTCAGTACACAGAAGAACACAGAAGAGAAGCTCTTGTATAGGATCATGTTGGGAAACATTTAAATCAAGTAGCATCTTCATGTAACGTGTGTCATTCTATACAAAGCTTTGAGTTAGGTTATGACTTGTATTCCGCTGTTTGCTCCATGTCCTGTCTATACCTGAGTGTTCAATTGAAGAATTTTGGAAAAGCTGTTTTCAACAACGAGCCCACCTTGAGATCAGAGGTAAGGCTGTCATAAAATTGCATGAGAGTATTGCTGGCTAATGTGTCTAGAAGTTGAGTTCTAATGGACTTAAATCCAGGTGTGATCTGTATAGGGTAGTGGAGTAAGAAGTAATTGGAGTAAGAAGAGATTTCATAATTACGACTCTGCTGGCCACTTCATCGCTCAAGCTTTCAGTGTCATCAAGGATAAGATTGCTTGTGTCTACATGTAGAGATGCTTGCTTTCTGAGATGAAACCAAATAAAGTGTGTTTAGTTGTTGTTAGTGCAATGTTAATGAAGAGCTATTCGAGCGCTCTTAAATTCTGTCCGATGAAGGGCAGTTGTAGTTATTGGCCTTGCAAAACTTCTTCCAAAGGGCGAAAAATGTTTTCATACCAGCATGTCTGTTCATAGTTACCTGCTTCTGGGAGTGTTCTTAACGTCAGGAGCTAAAAATTTGAAATCTGAATTTTAAAAGTCAAGTAAGCTTTAGGTATGAATGTATATTAGAATCTTAAATACAAGTTAGTACTTTGCCACAGTTCTTAATGTTATGAAAACTTGATGTAAAAACAAAATGTAAACTATGCATATTTTAAACACCTTTTACTTTGGAGATGAAGCATTTCATATCTTTGACAGGCTCTTATGAATCAGGAACCTTACTTGGGATCAGCAAGCTTCTCTGTTGCTTTGAATACCTCTTACCAGGTAGTTCTTCTGTTGGTTAGTGACTTGGGCTGTCCTTAATGTTCAGACTTACTCTTCTAGTTTGAATAAAACAATAGCGATTAAAAAACTTGCATTTCTGGTTTTGTAAAACTTAGATTATCTAAGATGTCAAGAGATTGATATTTATAGTTGTGTTTAATTTTGAGCTGTGTGATATACAGAGTTGTTGGTCCAACTGGAGTTCTGATCTGTTCCCCATTTCAGTGGTAATGCAACAACCAGGGTATTTTTATTTGATGGATTATCCCTGTTTCAAATAGTCATTCTTATTGACAAAAGATATAGGGTATTTATTTTCACATGAGCTGCAAGTGCTGAAGTGTTTGGCCGAGTGTATCCGTCATCCTTTAGTGAGGCCCTGGCAGCGCTAGGTTTATTTTCTGCTAATTTTTAAGAACACTTTATCTTAGCTAGAAATTCAAAAGATGCAGTAGGAACAGTTTATTTACCTCATTGTGAACTTGGATATAATAAAATATCCATATTATAAACGGGAGTGGGTGTGTTTTGAAGTGGTTTTTCCACATAGTCCTTGAACAGTCTTAATGTGAGTGGCCATAGTGCTGGGTCAGGTTGCAGTAGGTAGCATTGCATTATTTTTGTTCCATTTAATATCTTGACTTGTGCAAAGCATGAAGCAGTGACGTTTGTTAGACTCAGCTGGTCCAAGAAGGCAGTTTGAGTCTCCAGACCATGTTCTCTTGAAGCCAAGAGCCCTGGGGAGGCCGGTGCAGGCACGGACACATCACAGGATGAAGCTCCCCTGGCTCCCCCTGTTTTCCGGCTTGAATTCAACCCTGGGATCTCCATATGTGAGGAGTTTTTATGGAGTCGCAACCTCAGGCAAGGAGAGCAAGGAAGTTCCCATGGATGTGGAAGGTGATGGCTGCTGCCACTGTGGTGTTTCCCAGCATTCAAGAAAAACCTGCTGGCCTGGTGGCAGCTTTGGGAATATCTGGAGCTGTGCCCAGGGGAAGGAGTCGTCCCTGTGCACTGGGACACGTGAAATGGGCAGCGCGGCGCTTCCCTCTTGCGGTGCTTCCCATTCCCCTCAGCTTGTGCTCTGCTGCTTAGGTGTTTCATTACTGCGACTTGTCTCAGCACCTCGTTACTCTAGATAAGAACAAATTGACTGAAGTTAATCTTAATTATTTTTTCCATGGTAAAACTTTTAATTAAAATATTTCTGTGCTCACTAGATGGCAGCAAATTCCTTAACTCTAAGAATGAAACAAAAATGTTCTATGCAAACAGTAGATATTTGGTGCTGTGAAGTGCAAATAAGCTTTAATGCTGTATATGTTTTGGGATTAAAATGCTAGTCAATAAGATGTGGAGCTGGATGCAAAGTACAGTTAACGTTGTAACTCCTCTTCAAGTGACTTAAGACGTTTTAAAGTACTTCCTTTTTCAAGAAGACTGTGACTGTTTCAAGTCACAAAAGTTGTTCAAAATGCTGCTTTAATTTTTGATACTTATCCGATCTTAATGTGACTTTTCTGTAGTTCTTGACTTTCTCCATTTGGCAGTTGTGAAGAAAAGCAAAGCTTCATCTGAGGTTTCCTGCTCTGAATAACAGCTCTGCATTTTACTAAATGAGCTTTTTAGTAGGTGGTTAACAGAAGTCTAGTGAAGTTCACTCTATCTCCCTTAGACTTCCAGTGTTAAAGTCAATTAGACTGTTTTAAAAATAACTGTATGCTGGAAGAACTGCTTACAAAATGAAATGGTACTGGAGAAAAACCTATGTGGTCAGGAACATGCTCGATGATGCCAGACTAGCAATGGATTTCTTCAGAGATTAGGGCACTGTAAACTCAGGGCTCTTTTCTGTACTTCAGAGGAGGAAAGAACAACTTGCCCAGTGAAAATGAAATAAAGGGGTGTAAAGGCACAGTGACTTCTAGTGAATTTTATTTTTGCTTGAAAAACTATCAGAGGGAAAATAGGAATTAGTAAGAGGAATATGCAGTCACACATACTTTAAACAGCTGAATAGAGATGCCGGAAGATGCCTAATGTGAGAAAAAAGTAGTTTTCAGAGAAGTTTCCCTGAGAGCTTTTGTAGCTCTGATGCTTAATGGTCAGACCCTGTTTTCCAGATGCTTTAGGAAGCCCAGTGAGTATTGGGAGACCCAGGAAATCATGGTCAGGGCTTGAGACGACGGCTTAACAGTGGAAAATGATTTGAAATGCTGGCTTAGCCACCAGTCTTGAAAGCTGGCACCTGGTAATGTTTTTCACTACTACTAATGAGGCTAACTTTGCTATTCTGTTTGTGTTTTCATAATCAGTTATTCCATGGTGAGTCTTAATTGCTTGCCTCTAAACTAAAATCACATTTTAAAAATTCTTTTGTATGTTGAAAAAAAATAAATAATAGAGGGTGTATTTGTGCATGAAGTGGGATCATTAGCTTCTTATAGTTGAGTATGTTTTCCTTCAATAGAAACCCTTATTGAGCTGTTTGTTCCACTTGCATAAAACTTTGTGTTTTGTGTCACATTCCCTATATAGATGCCTCTTGAAAGATAGAACATGCTTTGTAGGACCCCAGTATATTTAAGTAAAATGCTGGGAGTCTGCAGCAAAACTGTGTCTGCAACAAAACTGTGTCTGCAGCAGCAGATTTCTTGGCAAGTGAAAGTATTTGTATATTGCATCTTAATTGCACAAATGTTTTATAATCAATGATTTGTTCTACTAATTTTTCTCACTCTGTTTAAGTAGCAGTCTGAATCCGAGTTGTTTGTATTACACTGGCCAAAGTAGGCGGTGATATAACACTTTTTTGTTAGAGCAGGAACAGTTCATAGCTCGCAAGAGGCAGATCCCTGAGTGAGTCATTTAGGTCCTTCCCACTTGTGTGGAAAAAAAAAATTACATCGTTGCCCTGTACTCAGTGTTCTATTTATACCATGCCAGAATTTTAAGTACATTTTGCTTTTTTCAGATGCTGTAAACACTATTGGGGGTTGTATTAAAGTAAAGTTACTGCTAGGCCATAGAAGGAGTATTACTTAATCAAGTACTTGCAGAGAGGCCAGAGCCGGAGTGTGCTGTCTGCTCACTTAGGCTTGCAACGGGGAGACCTCTGTAACAGAAACAGTAGATCTCTGTTTTGGGGTGTATATGCGTTTATTATTATTATTATTTTATATATTTTATTGCTTGCTAACCTCTTTTCTCTTGCACTTGTCAAATCAGTAAAATCCTAAGGTGAAGCATCTCTGTGAACATGCATGATGGATAAGTGTGGATCATTATAATTATTATTGTGGGGGTTTTGCCTGCATCTGTGGTATGTGAAGGAAGAGTATAAAGGGTGAACGAAGGAGAGGAGAAGTTGGGTAAGACTCTGTTGTAGCTTCTGGGGTCGGTCAGTGGGCTGTCCTGTCTTCTTGCCCATATGGGTGCCTTTGGGTAAGAACTTCGTTCTGTGCACGCTGAATGACTGTCTCACGCCGGCAGGTCTTAGCAATCCTGCTTTGCTTGTGTATTGTTTTAAGCTTGTTTTTGCAGTCTGTTTGCTATCAGCAGCAATCTCTGAATCTGATCCTGTCACACACTTGCATTTTGTATAATAAAAGCTTCAGTTTAAGTCCCTGGAGATTTGAATGATTGAGATAAGGGATTTGGCTCGGTGGCACTGTCAGTGTAGGTCCCTGAACAAGTAAGTTGAGCCACCCTCCAGTATAGGAGCTGTCTGGTAGGATTCCCTAAACGAGACGTGGACAGGCTAGTCAGGCACAAGAGTCTCCTCTCTCCTGGGACACTGACGGCTCGATGAAATAAAAAGGGTTGAAGGAAACCCTGGACATTTCTCAATGTGAAAGTTGCTACAGTAGAGGCCTGGGTGAGTATGAGAGGGGAATTCTGCGAGGGAGGTTGGTTCATCTGGAGAATGCAAATTCTTTTTTAATTTCTACTTCCTCACTTATTCTCTGAATTTGTATTTAAATAATATAGCGGAGCAGACTGATTGTAGGAGGAATGAGCTATAAATACATGTGTATCAAGTGTCATAAAGGAAGTGGAGCAGGGCCGAGTCAGAACTCCCTTCAGGAACAGAAAGGGGGCTGCAGCATGGTGGCTTGGAAGGTGGCTTATTCCTTCTGGAGTCCTAAGGATCTGGAGCTCATGCACATGGGTGAATTACTACAGTTTAATGAGTTGTGATAGTTCACAAATGAACTCTTAACCCATGGCAAATGTGAGGGAACTCGTGAAGTTAAAATAACTTAGCTGTTTGTGAAAGCTCTGAGAATGTCCTTAGGCAGCAGAGACCTCCAGTTTGAAGTCAAGGTGTTGATTCCTTTTGTGTGTTGAAGATACCATGATACTGCCTAGGAATAAGGACAGTGATTCTCTGTATTCTGGAAACATTTTTTCAGTTATTTATATTCAGTTATTTATATTCCAGTTGCGTATGTTTTTTGCACTGCATTTTATCTAGTGAAGACCTCTGTACATTGTTGTGCAAGTAACTGTTCTGTTTGCAGATGCCAACACTTTCAGTGGAGAGCTTGGATGTGTAGTTTAATGTTTGTGAAATACTTCAATATGTTACATTAATGCACACTGTTGCTTTCTGTGAACCCAGGGGACCGGGTCATAGACGTGGGGTCGGAGTGGAGAACATTCAGCAACGACAAAGCAACCAAAGACCCATCTCGAGTTGGGGATACCCAGAACCCTCTGTTGAGCGATGGCGACTTGAGTACCATGATTGGCAAGGTAACACTTAAAATACTAAGTTCTGCTAAGTCTGAGCACTTGGTCAAGCACATTATTTGTGTATCTGTAGATAAGCCATCCAAAAATGTGATTACATATATATTTTTTGAATATCTTAAACTAAATAAAACTTGGCAAAATGTTACTGTCTCTGGTCAGGAAAGGGATGAACCTGTCATGAGAAGGCGGTTTGTCTTCTCTGGAATTACTTGTCACTTTTGATGTACTGCATAAACAGAAAAGCTGATGATGCAGACATTATTTTAAAAAGAAAAAAGAAAATCGTACTGATTTAGCATTCTAATATTTGATGTGTATTTCAATTCTGTTCTTGTGGACAGGAAGAAATTTGGTTCTTGCCCCATTTTAGATGAAAGATTCAGTTACTGGTAACTTCCAAAGACTTACTCTTCATTTGTGTATTGGGGTATGTGAACACCAGGAGTTTTGTTCCAGTAATGTCATTAGGATAAAGAAATGGGCACACGTGAGCAAGCTGTATAGGTATATAGAGGAGTGTGCTCATACTCATCAACCAGCCATCTGGAGCTTGCTTTCCAGTGAACACCGATTTTTTTTCTGCCCTGTTTTCAGGATGGTTCGTTAGTGCTCTTGCTGAAACCAGGAAATACTGCTTAGGACTCCTTCCTGCTGGGGAAGAAAGGCTGCTTTCCGCATGCAAAGGGATTAATTCCTAATTGGTTTTAGTACTTATGGGACCCATCTGTCTGAGGTAGCCGAAGCCTGTATTGGAAGCAAGATTAATTTGTCTGCAAAGAGGAGGGTGAGGAGCATGCCTGCTCCAGGAGAAGTGACGGGCATTTTCCAGGTGTATCTTTGGTGTGTTGGCACAGAATTGTGTCCCTCTAGATGTAGCCACTGTGTGTTGTCAATCTGGGGACAGGGTTGGAGGCATCGTGGGAATTCTGGCATCATTTCTGAAAGTTAAGTCTTGTGTTGCAGGCAATTGTTTGTAATGTGTTTGTGACCTGAGTCAGTTTTGCTTGGTGCTTGTTGGCTGCCTGCCCCCAGGCCCACCTGGGAAGCTGTGGATGGCTGGAGGTGCTCGTTGAGCTTGAGGGAGCAGCGTTGCCTCCAGTGCAGCCTCTGCAGTGTTGCTGTCTGGATTATTCCTGGGTGCTTCCTTCAAACTTTCTTGCAGATGAAAGAGTAGAAAAATAAAAACAGAGCAATCTTGGGATCTAGCATCTCCCATAAAGGCCACTTCAAGGGCCTTTACCTAAAGGGAAACGCCAGGGATTGTGCTGTGCCTGGGAGCTAGAGCTGCACGGCCACAACAGAGCGGCCGTGTCGTTCCCTGCCGATAGTGAGGAGGAAGAGTGGCTCCCTGTGAGCAAGGGGCGAGTCCAGTAAGGAGCCAGCATATCAGTGCTGGACAGCCAAAGAATGTAGGTTAAATACGTGCTAAGGAAAGACTGTAGAATTAGAGGCTGTTTTAAAATAAAAGGGCAATCCACAAGGAATGTGGCTTGGGAAAGGAGGCAGTCGAGCTGTGACTGAGCGGCGCCAGGTACGGGCTTGGTAAAGGTGGCAACGAGGAATAAACACATCCTGCTGTGGAGTAATATGTGTGCCCTGGAAGCTGCTGTTAGAGCTGCCAGCTGAACTATCGGATCTTATTTTGCCTGAGACCACAAGCTTTGCTTTTTAAGAGGTGCTTGGTTTCCTTTCCCGGGCAGAATATACAGCTTCATGCGTGTGGCAGCAGCTAAGAATTGCTCCCCTGAGAAGGCAGAGCATCAGATTAGATTTGGATAGGTCATGGAAATGGGTACTTCCTTTGTCCATGCCTTTGTTTCCATATTTAAGTTATTGTTATAGCAACTTGTCTCTAGCTGGCCGTAAAACTATTTTTCTGAATCAGCTAGTCTGCCAGAATGGGGCAGCATCTGTTCTCTGTGGCATACAAGTGGCATAAAACAATCTTGGACCTCACCAGCAGCAGGGGAACTGAAACACCCTATATGCCTATGCACATGTGCCTATGTCTTACTCATATCTTTAAATTACTGCTACTTTAGGAAAGAAGAATTCCTGCATAATCTCTGTGCTCTGTGCTTGGAAATTGATTCTCAATTTTGGACACTTCTTCAACTTTTGCAGGATATGGAACGTGACATTTGGAACAAGGCTCAATTGTGCGATTTGTTTCAGCCATGTGTATTTGTGTAACTGTTGAGCCTAAAGCTTTGAATAAGGGTTTGTAGAGCTGGAAGGTGTTTGTACCGCTTGTGTTCTGCTGACAATAAGATCTTTCCTTTCAGGGCACAGGTGCAGCAAGTTTTGATGAATTTGGCAACTCCAAGTACCAGAATCGCAGAACGATGAGTAGCTCTGATCGGGCGATGATGAACGCCTTCAAAGAGATCACAAACATGGCAGACAGAATCAACCTCCCTCGAAATATAGTTGTAAGTTCACGTCTTCCGCCTTTAAATTGTTCTGGCATTGACTTAGTTAGCATAATATAATGAGCACATGAATTTTTGATATTGCTGCTAATTAAATGGCCTAGAGTTAATTAAATTTAGTCTTCTTGCTTTGAAGGATCGAACAAATAATTTATTCAAGCAAGTGTATGAGCAAAAGAGCCTGAAGGGACGGAGTAATGATGCTATTGCTTCTGCTTGTCTCTACATAGCCTGTAGGCAAGAGGGCGTTCCAAGAACATTTAAAGGTAAGCTGCCAGTGATACAGAGTCAATTTTACTATAGAGTAAATATCTAGTTACTATTAGCATAGGATGTGGGTTGTCATTTATTCCTGAACTTCTTGCTGAATTGGTTCTTCTTGGCTATAGCCCGCCTTTAAAAATAAGTGCAGAAAATTTGTTAGATTCATCAAGTGGCTCTCAGGCATGGTCCCAATACCTGAGAGGCACTTGATGAATCCCATGGTCTCATTTTTTGGTCCTGATACCTGAAGAAGATGGCCATTCAAGATGTGGTGGAATTTAAATGGTATTGCCAGATCTGGAGATGATGAGGACTGCTCTGGCTGAATTAGAGCCACCAGCTCTGGTAAGAGTGGGCACCTCTCCTGATGGTGGACCAGCTGACTTGTAGTGGCTTGGATTTTTCCCTGCTAAGCCGGCCATATGTATTGCTGCTTACGGAGCCCTTTGCGCTGACTTCAGTGATTTTGAAAGTTCACGAGTGTGCCAAGCTTGTTGTTTGGTGGTGGCTTTCATGTTATTTACCTTCTTTGTGGTGTTAAAATTTATGGTGAATTGAATTTGCTCATGTTGGGAGAACAAATGCCGTCAAGCCTACAGTTTAGGTTTTTTTTCTTTATTTAGAAATATGTGCAGTGTCCAGGATTTCAAAGAAGGAAATAGGCCGGTGCTTTAAACTTATTTTGAAAGCTCTGGAGACCAGTGTTGATCTCATTACGACCGGAGACTTCATGTCAAGATTCTGCTCCAATCTGGGTCTTCCTAAGCAAGTACAAATGGCAGCAACGCACATTGCCCGCAAAGCTGTGGAATTAGATCTGGTTCCTGGCAGGAGCCCCATCTCCGTAGCAGCTGCAGCTATTTACATGGCGTCACAAGCCTCTGCGGAGAAGAGGACCCAGAAAGGTACAACTTCACTCTTGCCTTCTTCTCTCTGCACTAGTATAAATTCCTGGCCTTCTCTCAAGTCTGTGGCAAAGATCAAAGGTTGGTGGGACCATAGGCTTGGCTGTAGGAACCTTTGGTGTCATTCCCTCTGCCAGCACCCTCTGGGTAGCTGGTAGGAAGCAGTGAGAGTCAAGGCTGCTGCAGAGCAGAAGAGCCAGGAGCAGCTTTCAGGGGCTCACGAGAAGGGGAAGGAGGGCTGAAGGTTTTGGATGAGTGTGTGGTGACAAAGGGGTCAAAACACCTGCAGCTGTTTAGAGGAGCTCAGTTGGTATTTCTGTGGTCTGGTTTGGATCAGGTAGGTGTTTGCTTTGTAGCTGCTGCTAGGTAGAGAAGAGTCTTTTTTTCTTCTACATCCCGGGTGCAGGGCCCAGCTCGGGTTCCGTCCCAAGTGCTCTGCCTTGCTGAGTGTGGCAAAGGAGCCTTTCTGCGCCTAGGAGACCCTGCTGCCCCGGTGCCCTCGCTGCAGCATTCCTGTTGTGGTAACTTCAGCTAGCCGCGTGTCCCGGGCAGCTGAGGGGCTTACTTTGGTCCAGGCTTTCTGCTGGCTTTGCCTCTTATGTAATTACAGCAGAAACTCCAAGCTGGATGCTCACAATGGTATGGTGGAATCTTGCTAGGTAGGTGAAGACTTGATGTGTAGGAGATGGTTTTTTAGTGAATTTGCACTCTTGGCCCTCTGTCAATTTGAAACTGATTTTAATCCAAGATTGGCAGCACATGTTGAAATGCAGCATGTGGGAAGACCAACTCTGTGAATTCTGTGCAAAATGTTAGTCACAGTTGAACAGTTTGTTTGTTGGTGTTTTTTTTTTTTTTTTTTTTTTTCCCCAGGCTTTTGGTTGAGTTATGAAAGTATGTAGCACTTCTTGAGTCAAGTTTGGTGTTTTTTTTGAAAAAAACGGTAATAGGAAAAAAACCCAGTAATTGTGTTTGTCTGCTTTTTGTCTTAGAAATTGGCGATATTGCTGGTGTGGCTGATGTTACGATCAGACAGTCTTACAGGCTGATCTATCCTCGAGCTCCAGATCTCTTCCCAGCAGACTTCAAATTCGATACCCCAGTAGACAAACTACCCCAGCTGTGAAATTTTGGAGGGTTACTTTTGATTTCTGTTAAAAAAGAAAAAAACTTTTGATTTCTGCCTATAATAAAGGATGTACAAAGTGTGAATACTGAGTCTTCATGTTGTGGAACTGGAGGATATGGAGACCAAGCATCACTGCTGGAGCGCAGCACACATTCCAGGGGTAAACACTCATTGTGTGGCATTTTGTATGTATATATTAGTGCAAGTAAATATTTAATGACTGTTGCAGCAAGCTTAATTTCATATTGTTGTATTTACTTAGATTTCTTTTGTAGGGATCTAGTAAAATGTATTTTGGAAAATTGAAATTATTATGTAATTCCTGAATAAACTGTTTTCCAAAAACACTTACCCTGTGGTGCCCATCCCTGCAGCCCGACAGGCACACGCTGCTGCTCGCGCGGGAGCTGGAATGCGGCTCGGGAAGGGCAGCGCCCTCCCTCCTTAGGGACTTAGTCACAAGGATACTTAAATGCACCTTTTCTTGGCAGCTTTCATCTTCTGTGGGCCTCTAATATTTGTAGTTAGCTGCAATTTACAGTATGGAAGAGTTAACTCGGGATGCAAACAGTTGATGAAAAGCAGCTTGAATATTTGTACTACTGCTCTTGAAGATCTCCGAACATCCCTGTGACAAAGAGATTAGTCACGGCCTTGGCACCGATTCTCTGATTTTCACTGATGTCTCTGTACCTTTGCTTCTGTGGATTTGATGCAATGACAAAGCAGCTAAACACACGGACATTTACTTGGATTGAATTCCGGACAGCTTTGTGATGCCTGGTGCTGCACAAGGAAAATAAAACTATCCCCACTATTGCTGTGAGCTGTGGGGGCCGGCGGCCGGGCTGCGAAGGATCTCGTGCGCTCCAAGCGGCGCTCCCGGTGCCGGGCAGCTGCAGCCGGCCGCTGGAGACGGGTAGGTTGGGAAGGGAGCTGCTCTGCGGCAAGCCCCGCTGTGAGCGGAGCAGCAGTGTGTGCCCGGCTGCAGAGCCCCTGCGGCACCGCGTGGAGCACTCGGCTCTGGGTCATGGATGGCGGGGCACGACTCGGCTGCGCGTGGCACCCACAAATAGTCCTGGCGCAGCACCTAAAGGTTACATTCCTGCTAGTTTAGAGGGATTATGTTCTAATGTCACGCAGCTCTGTGCTTTAATAGAGTCCTGCTCGGCCGCTGGGTGTCCTTCTCTGTATTGAGTAGCTGCCGGAGGGAGGAGGCAGGATGCTCTGAGTGGAGAGGGAGGGTCATGCCCCTGCAGGGGCAAGCCCTGGTGCAGGGGCGGCCCTGCAGCAGGGATCAGGGCTCTCTGTGGGTTAGGCATGGCTGAAAGCTCACATTATCATAATGCTCTTGTTTTAAATGTTTCCAGGCCTAATGGAGCGGCACCTCACAGCTCAGGGGTGAGTGTTGCTGTTTGCAATCCCTACACACAGCAGAGGCTGCTGCGTTGAAGCCCGAAGGAGCTTGCGGAGCGCGGGAAGCAGATGCCAAGCGGCTCCACGGCACCACTTCCTGCCGTTCTGCCCGCGGTTCCTGTCCCCACTGCAGTGCCGAGACGGGCCCTGTGCGCCAGGCCCGAGGAGTGCAGGTACCGTGAAGCCTCCTGGGCAGACATCGATGCAACTTTGAAGTGTTGTGTTAGGAGAGTTTTCAGCGAGTTGCTTTGCTGAAGCCGAGCAGTGTTTCCCCTGTTGAGTTTCTCGCTGAGGCCTGACCTGGAGCTCGTTCTGCGCTGCGTGGCTGCAAGGCTGCTCAGCACAGGGCGCCCGCGGCTTCTGTGCGGGCAGCCCGGGAGGCCTTAAAGGCAGGGGAGGCTTTTACTGGGCTGCAGAAAGCAGAGAGAACAAGGTTGTGTGTGTGATACCAGTGGGAGCTGAGAAGACCTTTGGCCCCGGAGAGCTGCCTGCCCAGCTCTGCCTGGCCCAATGAGGGTTTTGCCGAGTGTTAAGGCTGCAGCTCTCCAGGCAATGGCCTTCCAGGACATCCTGCTGTTTTAAGACTTAAGGGTAAACATCTCTTTTCCTAAAGACGCTTAGGGAAAAGAAAGAGAAAGCCTTCTTCTCTGCTGACAGAGCAACCCAGCTGCGGCTTCCTTGCAGGTTTGGGGTTGGTGGCAGCTGCTTCCTGCGCAGGGGTGAAAGGCGGCGCTGGGGCCGCGGCCCTGTCCTTGTCCCCTGCCTGCGGCGGCAGGGAAGGAGCCCAGGGGCTGCCGCCCACCAGCACAGGCGGCTGCCGCGCTCTCTGCGGCACCCCCAGGAGCAGGAAGGGGCACAGGTAACTATAGACTCGGTTAAAACAATATATATACACACACACATCTATATATATATAGAGAGAGAGAGAGAGAGAGAAGTTAACTACCCCTAAGAGACTGGTTTTCTGTAAGACCCCTCGGAAGTTCTTTTCTGCAGTTACCTGTGGAGAAAACATGACAAATGACTTTAAGACACAGCAAAATCATATTTAAGACACAGTTTACAAATTACTCTATTTAAAACTTTAATTTGTGATATTAATGACTGCAAAACACTTAGAATGACATTGTTAAAGGCACATTTTGTTTTAATGCATAGTGTACCATTCTAAAATATCCTAATTTCCTTACAAAGTGCTTGAGCAGCCACATACAGATAAAGTATAGCAAAATATATTTACAATCTAGGGTAAAATCTTAATCTGCCTAAAAATATTTTAAAAACTACAGAGATAAAATTAGTGCTTTATTTCAGCTTAACTGGGTGAACAAACCCTGCCCTCTAATTTTTAAGTGATTTACTTAGATTAAAAAAAAAGTTCTGTACAAGATGTAGTTACAAAAAGATACTTTTCAGGGTGTTTTCATAAATGCTAAGCAGCACCCTGGTAGATGTTCATACATCGATCTGGGAACCAAAAAGGGTAAGACACCTGTACCTCAAAAGTAGCTCCACGGTTCGTTTCAGCTAGGAACTGCAACATGATTTTGTGCTCCTTGGCATCTTGCCCCCCTCGTGCTGTAGCGCGCTCTGCCTCTAAGCACCGTGATAATCATTTGATGCCATTAACTCATTTTCTCCCTCAGAGGCTGCGGCTCTGCCCAAACTCCCCCGTTTAAGTGAACACCCTCGTGTTACCCCCTTGGCTTTAATGGATTTGTTTCTTTCAATGAAAAGTTTTGAATTCATTTTAGAGTGACGGGTTTCACACTTAGCCCATGAACAGACCCTCTTAGCTAGGCTGAACCTGTGAGATGAAATATACAATCAGCTCCAAACGTTGCTAGAGCTCCAGAAAACATTGGAAATTTATTGTCCGAGAATTGGTGCTTGCCCCCAGAACACCAGGTGCCAAAAACAGGTCATGGTTTACAAGTACACAGTGTCTGGTCTAAATTAATTTTTGACTTTTGAGGTACAGCTCTTAGTGTTAAGAGGTTTATAAAATATACACTGTTTTATCAAAAATATTTATACATTCTGTTACACATATTGCTTTTACACCCTCAGTAACTGCCAATCTAAGTTCTGGAATTCAGTGGCCTAAACCGTGTACAGATCCTGTTCCTCAGTTCGGTGCTGTTCACACGACCACCGTGCAAAGGTAATGAAGTGGTATAGTTAAATTACTTGCCTGGACATAGGAATACATTACAACTTCCAAATATACATGTTCACAGCATGTATACATTGAAAATCCATATGTTTTCTAAAAATGATATGATATTGTACAGCAGATACAGGATGACCAAGGTGGTTAAATACAGAACGGTTAACTTCTCTGTCCGTGCCGCGTGGAAAACGCATGAAGTTCAAGAGCACAGAGGAGGAGGGGCTCGGGAACGCGTGGTCTTTGCTCCATGTGGCTAGAATGAGCAGACAGCTTTGTTACATTCTTCATCTCAACGCCAGGCTTGCTTAAGCCATGCTTAAAATGCTTGAAGGCAAACTGTTTGGCAAGAGGCTTTGGTAGACTGCCTGGATTTTTTTCTTGATTTTTTTTCTTTTTAATGGAAGCACTTACACTGTTATCTCAAAAGCAAGGCCTTTAACATTTTCCCTAATAAATACCAAAGAAAATTTACAAAACAAGGCAGCTGTTCTTATTTACCATTATTTTAAAAACACAAGATGAAGGTATACAGAAAGATTGTTTTAGAGACCGTACAGGATAGTATTTATCAGATATCAGTTGCCTTCTCCAGATACATCATTTGCCTTCTCCAGCTAGAACCATAGTCTGTGTGGGTGTCACCAGCATCCCCAAATTCTATTTTAATGTGGCTGAGTTAAATGATTACCTAGCTCAAAAACTGCTTTTCCCACTTAAGGCAGGTATTAAAAAAAAGTTATCTGCTGTAGAAGAGTAAGAGAAGAGTAAGAGAAACAGTACAGATCCAAGTGTGCCCACGTGCAGGAGCTTTATATGGCCTGGATTCACCAACTCAGCTTAAGAACTCCATAGAACTGCTTTCCAGTGCTCAGATAAAAAAAAAATATACAAAGAGGCCACTCTTCACAAGAGTGTTAAAACAGTATTTAAAATGATCTTCATGTGATTTAAAAACAGAAGCTACAGGTGGCACAGAGAGCAATTGAAGGGTTGCTATTCTTCTGAGAGGCATTCCTGGGAGCCAGTCAGCTCGGATTTCACAGTGTCTGGAAGTTAACACCAATCAGCAATGTAATCAAAATCTCTGAACATTTCCTGCTCTTCTTCCGAAAGTATCCTTGGTTCCCGGGGTGGAGTGAGGATGGGTGCTTCAGAGGTAAATTCATCATCAAAATTACTAACATCTTCTCTTCCTCTAATGATGGGTACAAAAGGAGGTTTCACCTTCTTGGCCAGTAAAGCATTCCAATCTATCAGCTGTAACAGAAAGCAGCTGCTTTAGTCTCCTGCCTCTCCTCTCTCAGGACCTTGGCCACACTGTTAGCTCGTACTCACCCGGAAGAAGTGGTGCTTTTTCACGTCCTCTGCATCTTTCTCCCCAGCCCCGAGACGCCGCTCTGGATTTCTTCGCAGGAGCTGACAAAACAGGTGAGACTTTTAGCACAAAAATTCTAGGGTGTGGGAAGAAGTTAGGAGGGGATGAGTGCTACTGTATATGAAAAAGCCAACATCAAGGTTAGAAGAACAGTGGAAGCAGCATTCGTGCTGCCCGAACCATGGAAAATTCTTGGTCTGCAGAGAAAGCAGAGGAGAGGTGAACTTGAAGGGTAGGCAGATGTGGAAGCAGCGTGTGCTCCCTTCTTACCTTGCCTGGCCAGAGGCCACATGTGGCCCAGGCCCCCTGGGCACCCGGGGCTGCCGCAGGACACTGGCTGATGCCCCCGTACTGCTCCCGTGCCCGGCTCTGTCACCACTGCCCTTGGCCCTCACGCACGGGGAGGGTTTCCTGGCTGCCACAGGAGGTCGGATAGTTCCGTTCTGGGCAGCAAGCCTAACACCAGGCTGAGCTGATACATTGATAATGCAGCCATCAAAAAATAAGTGGCTACTACATTAGATAAGGATTCTTATCTAAATAGCAAATAGGTAAATTCTGTAGTAATAATATTAAAAAAAAAAGTATAGACCGAAATAGTTGCCCATGTGGCTCACAACAGTGCATGTTCTGTCATGTAAAATCAAGTATACAAAGTTTTGCAAGAACATTGCAACAGCCGGTAGGGGGACCACATGTGAGACAGTTTCCTTCCTTTTTGCTCCTATATGCAATATTAAAAATATCTTGCCCACTCAATCATATCTTGTTTTTCCTAGAATGAATGTAGGGGCAGTGTCTGAGGTGCCTGCTCACAAGAGCAGAGCTCAGGCCATACTGTTAGTGGTGGTTTTTCCTTTTTGTTGTTGCACAGGCCAGGCACAGCTTGTGCCCTTGCATCATGTTTGCACTGCGAAAGAACCTCCAGCTTAGGCAGGAGCAGCACACGCAAGGCACAGCTCCCTCAGCTTTGTGAGCACTGAGCTCCCTGCACACGTGCTCTGGGTGCCATGCAGCAACTCCTTCCCCTGTGTATCCTGCCATTGTAGTTTTCACAATAATATCTTTCCCAGATATTCCATTAAAACTTTTCCTTCCTCCTCTGGACAGACTCTTTCTGGGGGGAGCAGTCAGCTCAAGCTGCAGAGCACGTTAGGACTGCAGTACCTGCTGTGGCAGGCTCCACCTTGCACACACGGGTGCCCTCTGCCCACGTAGCGCCCGACCCACGGGTAGGGCCGGGCACCAGAGCCGAGAGGCTGCGTCCCTGGGCTCGGGGTCACCTCCAGCAGCTGCCCTTTCATCAGGGAGCTCCCCCAACGCTGCCCTTTCGGGTCAGGCACTGCCAAGGAGCAGCACTGGCACCACCCCATCACAGCTGCTTTTGCCAGGGGCAGCGCTGCAAGAGGCTACATCCAGGGTGTTTCCTGCCCCACTTGGAACAAAACCACACTGTTCCCAAGTGTCTGAATTCAAATGGGCAGCTGACACTTTACCAGGTAGGTCAATGCACTGGTGTTCTGCCCATGAAAGAAACACAAACTTCTCTAGTTAGAACAAGGGAAAAATAGAGGGAAAAAGAAGTTCAGGAGAAAAAGAGTTTCATGTTTTTATATTTCAGAAAGAAAAACTTGATTCTGGAAAAGTAAGTAAAAAGGTGCAGACAGATTTTTTCATTTAAAGCTATAAAGAAATACAGTCTGAAATTTTAAAAAAAGTGCAAAATCAATCTTAAGTTCCTCACAAAAGTGGTTAGTCTCTTTAATGCAGGAGGAGAAAAGAAAAGCAGGATACTACTCTAATAGTTCTATTACATTCTTACCCTTCTCATTATAGAGATAGCTTCTGTAGACAAAAATCGTGGATATCTTACTTCATCATTTACAATACTGTCAAACACTTCCTCTTCATCATCTCCAGGGAAGGGAGACTGCAATGATGGTAATCAAAACAATCATTAAAAAGACTTAAGAAAAAGAACTTAAAAAAGCAACTTCTATTCAGCTGCCAGTTTGTTGCTTTCTGGAAAGAATAAGATTAGATTTAGGATGTCTTAATCCCATTATAGTTTTCCTGTAACAGACGTTTAGGACAAGCTGATAACAGCCATTAATTTTTACTGACAGACTAGATTTTGGGTGGCTGATCAAGTCTGACTTGTTTTTGTAATATGTTTAGTATATGGTACAACTAAAAGAGTTTAAGAGGTCCAAGTTGTCATCTACACATTATAGGCTTGCCCCCCAACTTAAACAAACAAAGGCATGAAAAGGTTGAATTTCTTTTCCTTCCACCCTGCAAAAAAAAAAAAAAAGGGGCAAATGCTGAGCAAACTAATAGTGGGTTTTTTTTTTTTTTTTTTTTTTGCAGGTTTGTAAGGATGTAAGCCACTGCAACAAAATGGACCAGAAGGTAAGGCAATATATGCAATGGTGAATAACTATTCAATAAAATGTATTTACCTTGTCCTAGTTCCATATAAAGAGCTATTCTGTTTTAGTACATGTGCAACTCAAACAGTAAACACTATTGCATTTGGCATAATCTTACCCCATTATCCAGTTCTTTTGTATTAAGGTTTAGTTATGTTCAAACTAGGTAACGAGCTCATTTTCTCCCCAACATCATTTGACAGCAGAAGACGTCTGCAGTTGTGTTCAGTCCAAACAGACATAGGGAGGCATTCAGATACGACCATAACTGATTGGGTAACTGAAATGAGGGAGCTCTGCTGTGCCCCATGCGCTGGATGTGCTGTTTTATTGCTTAAAGACTCAGATATTAGCATCCCATTATCATAATTCCATTTAAAGCATAATCATGTACTGTACTTAACAGCAAAGCAGAAGTCCAGAGGCTAAGGCCTGCACCAGCTCTAGCTCATTCAGTTCGACAGCAGCTGACAATTCAAGCCCAAGACTTGACTCAATGACAGTGACATCTATAGCATGACAATGGCTGGCCTGCCAGAAACAGCTGCTCTCAGTGTTTTTGTGCTTTTCTGTTCTTCAAAGAAATTTCAAGCTATTCACTTATAAATGTGTGTGGGGTTTTTTTTTTTTTCTATCTTGTGCTTGAATTAAGTTTTTCTGGAACTTACCTCACCCACTAGCATCTCATAGATAAGTACACCAAGACCCCACCAATCTACTGCTCTCGTGTAGGACGTTTCCGTCAGCACCTCTGGAGCAAGAAATTCTGGTGTGCCACAAAATGTGCTCGTTCTGTCTCCATAGCCCATTCCTGAAAAAAAATACCATTAATGAAGGAGCAGCAAGCCGTATCCTCTGGCACTCCACAGCTTATTCCTTCAGCAAGTGAAGCTGCCCTCTAAAGCAACCTCAGCGTGAGGCTGCAGCTCCAAGGTCAGTCTTGAAAATGGGCAAGGGAAGCATTCCTGGGCTCTCCTCTCCTCCCACCCCGCTCCAAGGTTTTTGCTGGAAGCTTTTCTATCTCCAGCTATCGGCAATGAGCCAAATTAAGTCTCTAGTTACAGCTTTGTCACAATGTTGTCGTTGCCATACAAACCAAGCCTTAATTTGGTTTCTTATGGTTTTTAAAGTAGAGGAAAACCTAATACTCTTAAATCTGGTCAAACATGCCTGTTATAAACGCTTCTGTACTGACGGAACTATGTATAGTACAGCAATGGTGCAGGAGAACAACTTTGCATGAACAAAATAAGCCCTGCAGAGGCTCCAAGAGGGCACAATAAGGCACGTAGCCCCAGCAGGACAGATGCAGCACGGCCCCCATGGAGCTGCAGTGCTGGCAGAAACCTGAGCGCTACTGTAGTGGACAGAAATCAAACAAAGACCTTTCCTTGTCCTTGTTCCCTTTTGTCATGTTTGGAACACTTGCAGATAAAGTCACATGACTTGCCCTAAGATATATATTAAAAAAAAAAAAAAAAATACTTGACCTGCCACCCATATTTTCCCAGTTCTTCTCCGTTAAGCTAAAAACGGATAGATTTGGAGGACTATACACACACGTTGGAGGAGAAGCAGAGCTTCTAAGATCTTCCCTCCTTGTGAGCTTTCTAAAAGGCACTTCCCCAGCCCAGACAAAAAAAATCTGCAATTACTTCTATTGCATCTGTTTTATCTCTCCTTTGAAAGGTAGTTGCCAGCAGTTAGATGCTAGGCAGTATTTGGGGAGAAGTTTTTCTACATAGTATTTTAATTATAAAATATTAGTAATAATAATTAGTATTATAAAATATTATTAATTAGCGTGTGCCTTCCATATGCTTAAGAGTGCCACTATTTGGGAATTAGAAATTAAATAATGAATCTGTAAAACACATAAGCTGTCTGATTTTGTTAGGCACTGTCAACATGCACTCAGTTCATTTTCTTTTAATTTGTAAAAGCAGCAGGGTGTCTCATAAATAATCAAAGATGACATGATGCCAGAATAACACAACTAAGAAAGAGGGATAAGAAAGGGAGCTATTTCCCTACCAAAGGGCTTGCAACTATCTCTACGTGTAAACACCCAAGAAATGTGTTATTTTCCTTCAGATGATATGGGGTAAATATTCATACAGTTTATACTTTGAGCACTCCAAGAATCTTAAAAGGAAACAGTCCAAAGCAGGCAAGACAATTGAATTCCACTGGAAAAAAGTGATGAATAAAAAGCTGTTACCTTCTTTGCAAAGACCAAAGTCAGCAATTTTTACAAAGCCTTCTGTGTCCAGCAGTAAGTTATCCAACTTCAAATCTCTAAATGAATATTTGAGAATAAAAAAGTATCACTGATTTTTTTCACCACTATTAAGAACATTTGAAATTCAGCTGTTGAGAAACTTTACTTACTGCTTATGCATTTTTTAAACTTAATTAATATGCTTTTACTTACCTATACACTATTTTGTGTTCATGTAAATACTGAAGTCCAAGAACGACACATGCAGCATAGAACCTGTTCAAAAAAAGTTCAAGTTGCAATTCCAGTGTTTTCAGTCCTGCTTTTCAAAATACAAAGTTCATCCTTATTTGCCTTCCCTAAAAAATAAACAACTCAAGAATTTTAAAACTATTTGGCAAAATGTTCAAACAAACCCTGCAGTTTTCAAGGTGCAGTATGTTCCCTTGGGCTGAGGGAGGACCTTTTGGGCAGTGCCCAGTGCCGTGGCACTGAGGAATCCCCACCTTGGCTATTTTAGCTTTTAATTTAGCCTGTTTGTGTAATCCTTTTCCCCATTAATTGTTACAAAACATAAAATATTGGCATATGCCATATTTGCATTGAACTTTGATAAAGCACATTAAGCTTGCACATACGTTTGCTAACAAAATCTTGGATCCTTCTGAAGAGTAAGCCATTACTTTCTGAAATGATCAAACAGAGGCAATTGATTGCTAAAGTTTTTAGTTCTAATCCACTGAAACACAGAATAGTCTTTAGCCTGATGCCACAAGAGGTGTTAATGGACACTTACACTGCTCTCGGTTCAGAGAAGACATCAGTGTGGATGTGCATCATCAGGTCCCCCCCAGCAGCATATTCCATTACAAAGCAAACGTGATCTTTAGTTTGGAAACAGGCAAACAGGTTCACCAGGAAGGGATGCCTTACACTATTCACAGTTTCAAAGATTCGCTTTTCACACATCAAGCTGCAAATAGAGCATTAGTAAAATTTAATGCTTAACATTGAACCACAAATTTCTGATTTGTGAAATATGTTTAGTAGTTAAGACCACGTGCTTTTCCCTCTGTTCTTGAGGATAAAAAAGAAAAACAAACCAGCTAACCACACACAACCATGAGAAGAAACTTGGTGTTTAAGACAGTGCTTTTAAGTACCAGCACAAACAATCAGTTGATGCCATTATTTCCAAGAAATTGCATTTGGCTTTCCCCAGTGAAAAAGGAAACCTAGAAGTCCCTGAAAACTGAGCATCCGTCCCTATTCCATTCAAATACTCATGCTAAGTATGCATCAATATTATGTAACATCAGCATCAATCTACTTTAAGCTTTAATCATGTACAATACACAACACGTGGTAAAATGGTAGTCATGCTATAGACCTTTCTTTATAATTATTCCTGATTATTTCTCCTTGACACTTGGTTAATAATTCAGATAACTTTTTTCATTATTTCTATGGCACAAATTCATTATTCACTACTTTCTATGGAGAAATAACACACAATATATATTAAAACTAACCTGTCTACTTCATCACGAGCAACAATATCTCCCTTCTTTAAGGCTTTAATAGCAAACATCTCATTTGTGTTTTTGTACTCTGCCAGGAGCACCTAAAACAGAAAATATGTGATTTACTCCAGAGTTATGTGCAGTTTTTGAACTAATTCTTAGCTAGAAAGTTACCTTTCCGAAGTGTCCTCTGCCTAGTACAGCACAACATCTGAAATCCTTCAGGCTAAATTGAAATCTTTGTTGTGTTCTGCGTAGATAAGAAAGAATTTTAAGTTCAACTTTCTTAACTTTAAGAAACAGTATTAATAACAACAAAACAACTGCATTTTTACCTCCTGTCTTCAGACTCTCGGATATTGGTGTATTTTATGTCTGAACGTGAAGCATCAGGCTCACAGATTATTTCAGGCTGTAGTTTTGGGACAATACTATTTCTGTCATTCTCAAAATCAAGAGCTGTTACTTCATTCTGTGAAGAAACAGAAGTCTGAAGATTTAAAACAAAGATTGCTAAAGCAGCTGAGCGCAGGAATTTTCACTTCAAGCAAACCAAACTCTTCACACAAGAACTGAGCTATCTAAAACATACTGTAAGTCTAGGCAGATGAGCAAGATGTTAATAACCTGGACAACTACTCCCCCACCCAGTCATTCACCTCTTCTCTTAAAGAAAGGATTTTTCCACTATCTACCATGATGATTTCAGGCTTTTGTATTTTGTAGGATGGAACCAGAAAGGATTAAAGACTTCAACCACAGGAAGGGTTTGCTACCCTACATAGGTCAGGACATTCTTTTGATACAATTTGGTATGTGCAAGTTATAAAAGCATATTCTAAAACATAAAGGAAGAAATACATCATAAATATATCAATATTACATCCTTCTTAAAACATGCACCGTGAAATTCGTAAAGGCCCTTGCCTGAGCTGATGTGTCAGAAGCCTGTAGCTCAGAGGAAGGCTCACTTATTTCCCCAAGGGAGGATGCACGGGGCGGAGCAGGTGGAGGCTCAGGCTCAAGCTCAAAGTCCAATTTGGCTACAGGAGAATCACTAGCAAGAAAATAAATAACTCATCAGTGCACAGCACGAAGTTGTGATAGTCAACCTAAAACTGCATGTAATATAGATGTCTTCCCAAGGCAAGTTGGGTGCATGAGCATGTACACACACACACACACACACACACACACGTAAAAGGAATATCTAAAATAAAACATTAGTATGTCTTCAGTTCTATAGAATAGAGAGATTTTATGTGTATGTTAGCATGAACATATTTTGCCATTGCTTTTGCTCTTAAAAGTACTTAAAAGCTGTACGTGGCACCAACCTGCTTGGCAGTGCTAGTTCAGAAAGATGCGCATCAACCACGGGCACTGTAGCAGCTACAGGTGCTTGAGGGCTGAAGGTGCCAGAGTGATTTACTGTCGGAATAGCTCTTCTCACCAGCCTTCCCCAAGTGGCAATATTAATATTCATTTGAGGAGCTCTGAGAAACGTTTTGCCTGTGGATATTATGAAGGAGAAGAGGGGAAAAAAAGTACAAATAATTTTCGCGTTTATTAACAAAAGCCATAATTAAAACAATTCATATTCATCAGTTTACATTTTATGAAGAACAAACTGAATTTGTCATATTTCTTGGCGTTTCCTGATTATCCACCATTAAATGGTAATGCATACTGAAGAATTCTAAAGGAAAACACTTCTAAATGCTGTGCCAAAAATTTAGTTATCAAGAACTCTGTATGTGAACAAACAGTGGGGCTCATTATAAAATGCTACATTTTTGTTTAAAACTGTATTTTACATATTTATATTAAGAAAATCACCTTGCTGCTTTGAAAAAATTTTCTTCTGTCTCTGAAGTTTTGGTCTTCTTTCAATAACTGGATTAAAAAATGTGACCTGCAGTTCAAATAACACGTGTTACAATCGAAGTTTCAGGGCAAAATACATATCTTGAAGTTCAAGAAAACCTTCTTGAACTATTCTGCAACGAGACCTGCTCAAGTGTTGCTGTAAGGAAACCTTCTCACCTCTGCAAACAGTGTGCCCTGCGGCTCAAGGTAGAGGCACATGCCGTGCCGCTGGTTATCCAGGAAGTCCTCCAGCCTCAGAAACTTCACTGCACACAGAGATCTCCAGTCACGCCAATAAACTGAAATTTCTAATTCACGTGACTAAGACAGTAAACACATACACAGGAAATTACTTATTAATAACTGTTCCACAAGCTATGTACAAACTGTATAAATCTCTATAGAGTCTTAAGATCTAGAACCTCAAGCTAGAAGATACAGAATTTACTTTAAAAAGGTGCCAGTGCCACCTGGCAATAATGAACATGCTTTCACTAGGATGACAGCAGCATTTCATCTCATTTGGAGTGTGATTTTTAATATTCAGATAAAAGATGCCAGTATCAGGTCTTGGGTACGAACACTAGATCTGACTGTACACTACACGAGAAATTCTAGCATTCCAGCCTGGCGTAAGAACTTAGGCGTGGAGAACTCATTCTGTTAAGGACAGGAATACTTGCACATGGGTTCTTTGAACATAATTGTTATAAGAGAAGCAAGCACTGATAGAAAGCAACATGGAATGAATCTACAAAACGCACAGTAACTGTCAAGTGACGTAAAATCACATCTTTACCCTGTCTAGTTCCAGTGTAAATTTCTGATCCCATGACTGATTAGAAATAGGTTTCCAGCTAGTTTGACCAACCACAGTGTTATCCAGCTTCAGCACAGCACAGACTTCATCTGTAAGTAAAGTACACAAGTTCAGCTTAGAGATGTAAGAGGATTTCGCACAAACAAAAAATCTTCAGTAATTCTCTCCCCCAGCACCCTCCTTCCCTCTGCCAAAAGTAATCCCATATTTAATTGGTTCTTAAGGGCACAATGGCGTGGGCTTTTTAAATCCATCAATGGATTTAAAAAAAAAAAAAAGAAAAAAGAAAAACACCCACATAAAAAGCTTCAAATCAATTCAGTGTTTTTAACTGCAAAAATACAGCATGCACATTAAAATGTAAATAAAAGGTTTGTATAAAAATATACTGAACTGGACAAGTCATCAGTTTTCAGAAGGTTTCGACTGCTCCCACTTTTACTTTTACTGGTTCTGCTCATGAAGGATGATCTGGCTTCATTTGGACTCCACCCAGGTAATGTAATGGATGTGGCTTTCGATCGACCAGGGACATTTTCCAGAATATCTTGGCAACCCATTAGCCTGACTTCCAGGGTACCTAGAATAAGATAAGCAGTTGTCCATCAAAAACAAATAAACAAAACCTGCTCTGTTCTTTAATAAGCGAAGTGAATGACCACAAACTCCTCCTCTGGCAAGGCTCACACTTTGACCCTTCAGGATATAGCAGCATTATCAGACAAGGTCTATGTTGATAACTACTAGGAAAGAACTGCTGAAAATTAGCATAGAGGCAAATGTGAGGTGAGCATGGATGTACACCATGCAAAGCGCCCAAGCAGCTGGCATTTCAGCAAGGAACAATCATCTCTGATGTTTTTCACCTTAAAAAAAACCAAAGGATAACAAAAACTTGTCAACCTAACCAAAAGAAGAAGAAAAAAAAAAAAAAAAGGCAAGCCCATTGTACTGTTTGGTTCTAAGCACCTAAAAATGGTCTGTTAACAGTATAACCAGGAGACACCAATAAGCCGGTCTGAGAAGGAATCCCATCTCATCGGAACTAATATTCTGAAGTGACAAATAGGATGCTGTAGGGACAGCACTGGATCCCCAAGCTGGCTAAAAGGCAAGGGAATATTTCCTTTCTAAACCATGTTCAGGAAAAAATGGTTGCAAGTTTCTATAAGGCCTAGAATGCATAGGAAAAAAAGCCTTCTAAAGCTGTGCTAATATTCCTGATCCATTTTTCCACAGCTTGCTAAAGACAGAATACAAAGACACTGTTCATTTAAAGCCAGGCAGTACAACAGCTCTTTGTGCAGCTAATGTGAAAGTGAAACTATTAAGGCCTTCACGAGGACACAGCCTTTGTTGGGTTTCTATTTAAAAGTGCTCCTATGTATCAGTAGGTTTTCCTTGCAGAGGAAGCCATTGTCACCGATTCATCTGCCGCGTGATTATGTGTTACAGGGAAGGGCCACAGCGGTTGTTTTCAAACAAAACCTGAGATTTCCTGTCCGTGGCCACTGCTCACCTTGGGGAGCCTCTGCACGTCACCATTTGGAATCTCATTCCTCTGTGGCTTTACAAAGGTCAGAGGTTTTGAAGGTTTTTCCTCTTTGCTACTGAACTATCTGGGCCAAAAAGCAAGACAGACTTGCTCCATGTTACTGTCATCACAGCTTGTCAGAAAAGGCCAGTTCCCCTTTTTGGTTTAAGGTTCTACAGTAACCGACTTCAGTTAGACACATGTAAGGGGAACTGTTGGAACCACAGATTATTTTTGTAACAGGCCTTCTCGTTACAGTTAGTTTAACAACAGCATATAAAACTCTTCAGGAAACAAAAACCATCTGTGCTAGTAATTCATATCTGACAACTTACTAAGTAATTCAGTAAACCTCCTAAGTAAATCCAGCATACCCCCAAATAGCCAGGTATGCTGGCGTTAAAGACTTGTTTTAAACAGCCAACAAACAAAAATCCCACAGGACCTACCTGTTAAAGCTGCTGGTTTGGACAGTGTACTGTATTGGTTTTGAGTAGATATTACACTTTGACGTGGACTTAAAGTGGGTGAAGAGACCAGCGAAAGCTCCTCTATGATAATACTGCTTTTGGGATGGTTTTTAGGAAGTTCATTCAATCTTTGTTCCAGTGAATACTTCAAGAGGTCCAACTTCTGGCTTGATTCATTAAATCTCGCTTGAGCCTTTTTAAATAGAAAAAATATGACATTTAGTTTCCCCTCCACTGAACAGAACTTTCAAAGTAAAATCTCAAACTGTAATTACACAAAAAAATATTACTTCTGAAAGTGCTTTTCTGTCAGTGACTTTCCCAGATCCAAGTAATTTCATCACATTTTTTGCACCTTCTGCTACTGCATACTCTATCCTAAAATGATGCCGTAATTCTTCCATTCGGAGTTCAAGAGGGCTTATCACAGGTTTTGCTGAAAAAAAACGAGAAAAAAAAAAGGAAAAAAAGAAACAACCTTCATTGAAAATTGTGCTCTCAATTTCTTCAATTTGTTACCCTTCCTCCCACATATAGGCAGAGGGATTGGAGAAAGGAAATTTGGCAAGTCATAAAGTCTTACAGTACATCTTATAGTACATAATAAAAGCAACAATAAAATTTAAGCTACATGTGAAAAGAAAAAAAAAAAGAAAGAAAAATTGAGTGATCAGGGTTTCAATTCAGTAAATGGGTCCTACTCCTTTGAAAGCTTCCATTGCTAGAGGACGGGAGCAGAATGCACCTCCAGGGAAGTTAAGGGGCAGATACCTTTGCAGAAAGTGAAACCTCCCCAACATTTCTTGGGTGCTTACGACAGGGTTTCAAAAATTTCACCTTTCAGACTCATGCTCGAAGAATTTATCTTTGAAACTGCTCTATACACTAAAATCCAAGGGAATCTGGTTTCTGCAAGGATGGAGAATGTAAGAGGTCTCACCTAATGCCTTCCCCAAATCGTTCGATTAACAATTCTAATGTCAACTTCTTTCTTAAGCAATACTAGAAAAGTTCCTAAATATTATTTGCTGTTTAATGTTCTAAAAGTAGAATATGCATAAAAATCGTATGCAAGGCCCTTCTAGCTTTACTGCCTATGTACAGATAGCACAAAATACACCTTCGTGGAGGTGCACATTTAACCTTAATTTGGTGCTAACTCCCTTTAGAGGTGTAGACCGGAAGGTTCCTCCCTCCTTTGAGCAAACAACATACACAGCACTCCTCTGCTAAGATGGAGCGTTAAAAACTAAAACCACAAACCACAGAGTTTTTCATTAGCTAGGAGATCTTCGTCAGACCCTGGTTATGAGCATCATGAACCAGCTTCAATAAGCAAGAGATGTGTAATGAAGTTCAGGAGTTAGAGATGCACCCATATGCTCAGAATTTCATAGCACGTTCATGCTATAACAACTCAAGGTCTTTAAGAGTTCTCAAGAAATGAGTTGAAAACTACTTACAAAAAGTAGCATATATGCATGGTTCAAAACAGACCACTCTTAAAAAAAAAAAGCTTTAAAGTATGTGTCGAGACAAAAGACACCACATGTAGAAGATGAGCATGAAGCCAAAATACACCGTGCAAAGAATAAACATGATAACGAGATATAATATTTCTCTTCATTAAACCTAGTTTTGGTGATTTTTGGCCTAAGTGAAGTCAGATTGATTTGGCATCTGAGCACACACAGTGTTATATCTAGTCTTTGACCATTTTCAGTTCATACTTTTTTTTTTCTCTCTAAACTCCTACTAGGAATTTGTTATAGCTCTGTGGGTATATGGGTACATCTCTACAGGACATAAATAAGATTTGTAGGTCTTTTCTCCTTCATCACCATTATCAAAAGCCAATTCATTGGTCTGGACTGCCTGGAGAATCTGCATCCTTATAACTTCTATTTTTGTCTTGCTGTCCTGGAGCATCTGTTGAGCTGTGGCAAGAAGCTTTCGATCCTATTAAAACAAAAAGTGAAGAAGCGTAAACTCTTCATTAAAATACATATGCAGTTACTTAGCTCTGTTCCTAAAGCGTGCAGTTTAAACAACTTTTGCTTTTGTCCATCTTTCAGCACTGCAGACCACTCCAACGAACCGCATTAAGCTATTAGTGGAAATGCAGTTAGGACAGAGGCATGTTCTGCTTGATTGAAGACTATAAGCCACCCGCATGGAAACTGTATCTCTTTAAAGATGGATAAAGGAGACATGATCTAGAAACACTACATGTGTAGCTGAATAATATTCTATAATGATATTGAAGAAATGATACCAAATGCAAAAGAGCTGCTTGTTATGCTGAATGACTCATGTTCACCATGCACGCAATAAGAATTCTGCTATTTTAATAGACAAAATAGAGCAGATATAAAAATCACTGTCGCAATTCATTTAACCCAAATTTCACTCTTAAATAAAATATCAGGTTAGCATACACAGTGTAAACATACATATAAATTCAGCTGTAAGCAATTCTGTAATGTTTTCCTGAGAAAAATCAAAGCTGAAGATCCTTTTGCTCCAGCATGTGAGGGCTACTTTATTAGCTATTTCATCAGCAACTTAAATTACTTTGATTCTAATCTAAACAAACTGTGCTGACCACTTGGCTGCTTTCGGAAGCGGCTGCGAGCCAGAGCAGCGTGGCAGTGCGGTGCGTGCGGGGCCCGTGTCCCGGATCTGCTGAGGCCGTTTCTCCCGAGGCGCCCGCACAGTCCCGCGGGCTGGGCGCCTCTCCCAGGCGCTGGCGGCGCCAGGGCTGCCCGCGGCCCAGGCGCCTGTGCCCGCGGGTGCCCGTGCACCGGGATGGACGGGAAGGGAGCAGAGCTGCGAGGCAGCCCCGTGTGGCACCGGCACCGCGCGCAGGCCACGGGCAAGGCGGCCACTGAGGGGGCAAAACTCAGGGCAGCTCCGTTAGTCCTGTCTGTGCAGCTCCAAATCACGAGAGTCAGTATCGATGATTACCACACCTCGGTTATAGCCCAAAGGGCATTCTGGTTAACTCTACCGTGTTTCTTACATGAATGCCTTCTTACATAAAAACATCAACTTTAGAAATAAGCACAATCTACAGCTGAATGCGGGACTCATTTTAATGCATAAATTTGCTGTAAGTGTTTGTCTCCAGCTTCATCTCTGTTTTGCTTTTGAGCTTGCTGCTCTCCATCTTCCACGTCCTCTTACTACAGTGGATTTGTTTGCTTATTAATCATTGAAGAGCACATAAGGTGGACATAATTCATGATTATAGAGATATTCCTGTATCTACAACAGAAAGAAAATCCTGTCTTCAGAATCAGAACTAATGTTACACTTAGCAGCTCTTTTAATGTCAGAGTCGGAATGCAAAAGACTTCTAAGCATCTCCCAGATAGAGGAGAGGTGACAACACCTGCAAAACTGATCTGCAAGGCTGCCATGAGATCCTGGGTATTCACAAAAGTCCAGGGAAGGATGATCAATATCTCAGCAACACTTAACTCTGAACAGGCATGCTACAGAAGCAAGTGGAGCTAAGTGCAATAGGATAACCTTTCCATGAGGTGACATGTATATTGCTATAAAAGACTGTGCTTTTCATGTTCAAAAAACACAGGATCATCTCCCTCTGGCAAATGAAGGTCTGGAAATAATACAGTAAGCTTGCAGTTAGATCACAGGTTTGAATTAAGGTCACCAAATAATTGGCTCTGTTCAAAAGTGGGTCCGGGGACCACTTTTTAAAGAACCACTGGATGACCAGGGCTGGGGTCAAACGTGGCAATTTCTTGACCACCTCATCCAGATGCTTCAGTTGTTTAAGTGCTGCTTTTTAAAACCTAATCACCACATGCAAGCCTACAGTTTGAGGCTTCCAGATTTACTCTTAGTACTTGGTAGTGAAGTAGAGCACGAATTCCCATTATCTGCTTGTGGGAGCAGCTTGTGACGCTTCTGTGTTTTCCAATTTGCTCTCCCTAACCCAGTTACCACATAAGCCCAATTTGGTGGGCCGCTCAAAACATTTACCAACTGCAAGCAAAACATCCAATCCTCAGTTTTAATTACACGCCTCAATCACAGCAAGCCAGAATTCATCCCTTCTACCTCACCTGATCAAAGCCTGCTAACAGGGTTGAACATGAGAGCCTGAGCGTTGTGAGCTTTTCTCAGGCTGTTATAAGACTCCTTGCTGAGGGGTTATTAGGGACATAATACATGTCTATCTGTGGATCCCTCTGGATCACCCGATTATTATTTTGGTGTGTGCGAGCCCTGCAGGCTCCAGGGCTCCCACGGGCTGTGTCCTGACGTCCCAGAGCCTCCCGCGTGGAAGCCCGACCCTACCAACCTGTGGGAGAAGCTGCCGGGGCAGCGGCTGCTCGCCAGGGATGCCGCTGCAAGGGGGAGCGCGTCCCTGTGCCCGCCAGGCCCGAAATCCCTCCCTGCAATTGGTGCTCACTCCCATTTTGTGAGGTACAAGAAAGTCATGCAAGAGGTAGAAATGAAGGAGCCTGTCTTCCCATTAGTCCCAAAGAGAAATTTATTTAGCAACTCAAATTCCCTTTCCAATACTTTTTTGTCAATACCAGTTATAATCAGTAGCAAAGCAACATACAGATGTCTAATCCTGCTTCAAGTCAAGCCTTCCTTTTTAAAATAGTCCACTGGCTCACCTATACGTTAGCTCAGTCAGTGGAATCTTTACCACGTTTTCAGTTTTATTTACTATCTTCTGGACATAAAAACCATCTAACCAAGCTGTTCCGTGCCCTTTGCGAGACCTGCCTCCCTAGATTCAGCTCATATCCTTGATGCTTCGGTGAGAACGAATGGAGAGAAGGGCTAGTGAGAGCTCGTGAAGGAAGGGACTGGCCCGACTTCCTTCCCCCAGCCGCCCCAACACTCCTTTGGTCACGTGAGAGCCAGAACTTCCTCATACTCAAAAAACAAAGGAGCAACAACAACAAAGAAGCATTTTAAGTTGGGAAGGTTTGGCTAGTCTTTCATTTGAGTTAAGGGTGCATCTAGAATGCACCATGTGATTCATTTTAACAGTAGCCTGGCCCAGGCAAAGCCATTCAGGATTGTTCCAGCCCACCTCCCCAGGCAGCCCCTGGTGCTAGTGGGAGAATGAGCAAGCACAAGCGAGCATGTGCACACCTAAAATCAGATCTTAAAAAAAAAAAAAGCGCACAGCTCTACTTCTAGTTTCAGTTCGATGCTATCAGCTGCTATCTCTAAAATGCCACGCTTCTGTAAGAAATAACTGGTTTTAGTGATCATTTCTTTCAGCTTTTCATCTACGTTAATCTAAGCTAAAGGAGAAGTACAACAGTTTGTTACTGCACAAAACGCTGACAGAATATTATGCTCTCCTAAGTCAAAGACTTTCTGTACTTTTTTACTGCCAGCTGAGATGAGATGACCATTTCAGAAGCATATTTGGCAATGCTGTCTTCTCTATTGTCATGAACATTACAACTTTAATGGATTTTTTTTTAGTGCAGCTAGAAAAGACAGATACCACTCAGCGTCATAGCAAGCTTTGCTGCTTAGCGAATCCCACACGATCAAAGATTACTAGATGTACTAAATTTAGCAGACTGGATTTAGTATGTAGGTTGGTCTGCCTGTTAACAAACTGATAAAACAACCACTGTTAAATCAGCCATCTTTGAATAGGTATTAAACTGCAACACAAAAAGGTATAGTAATTTGTAGCAATTCTACATTATCGCTTAATTAAAAAAGCTTATACATTGTTAATTCACACCACAGCAGCATGAAAATCCACAATCGTTTAAATATTTTTCAAGCATCCAAAAGCCTTACCTTTGAAGAACCATTCGAATACATCTGTATCATATTCTCTGCTCCTTGTTTTACCTTCAGTTCTATATCCAGTTGCTTTTTTAAGGCCATCAGTCTGTTGTTCGTGGAAAAACGAGGATCGCTGTTTGGAGTATCAGGAGTCCTAGGACAATCTGCGAGTTAAATAAAAATAAAATAATATAAAAAAAGGTAATGTACACAGCAAAACCAAGCAACTATTAAGGTATAGCTGGAAAAAAAAAAACAACAAAATTATATTTAAGTATTGCAACTAACTGTCCTATCCAGAGCTACTTTGCAAGAGCCCTGCAAATGCGCCTTAACGTGAAAAGCCTCAAGAAAGCCTAGAGACTCCTACACACGTCCTAATTCACATGATTCACTTCCGGGGGTGGTAAAATAGATAGGTTTGCAGCTAGGTCTATTTTTGTTTCCAAGGAGATTTGTTCCTTCTGAAAAGTCTTCAGTCAATTAAAAATGCAGTTTGCCATTAAGCTTTCTTACACCACAGCAAAGTTTTAAGTGCTTTAAAACACAAACTCGGATATTAAAACACAAACAACAATATTCAGTACCAGTGGGCATAGTCTATAAATAGGTTTTAAGTAGCTGTATTCCTCACCGATTTTAATGTACCGTTTCTGGAACGAACACTGCAGTTTATGTCAAAAAGAGGAACAGACAATATTAAAGTCTTTCTTGAGGAATGCAGACGTAAGTCTACAGAGTCACTCTTTAACTTGCTGTCCTCCTGCAGGAAAGGATATTAAATACTGGTTCAAATTGCAGGTTATACGACATGAACTGCTCATCTCTACCTTTAAAGTGAGTTGAATTATTTCCCAGTGTTCAACTATTCTGTAACAGAATAATTAAAAAAAAGAAAAAGTTTTTATCTGTGGATAATTATCTTCTTAACAGTCTCCATGGCTTCTCTTTTAAACTTTCTGAAAAAGAGGTTAAATTATTTCCACTACCATAATCCCTTTTTTGTTGTTGATTCCTTTTACACTAACAACTGAGACACAGCTTTCCTACAGGCATATGCCACTGCTTGATCTCCTGGAAGATTATACTTATCTGATATCATAACAGCAAAGTCTTATTTCAACTTTAATTAATTTTCCTAGAGTTAAAACTATGCTGATAAATCAAGTTCCCCAAATCTTCCCTTGTTTATTAAAACACATAGGCATTATGCGAGTAACTCCCAAATTATTAATTATGAGGTGTCAGCAGGAAGATTTTTTATCTACCATTTCATATTTCTTTTGCAGAAGCTTCTGATAAGCAGTTTGGGGGGTTTAGTACATTTTACTTTCAAGTTTGCAGTGCAATTTCCTTTTTTTTAAAAGGCAGTCTTCCGTTTCTTGTAAGCAGAACTTGATTTCCTCTGTTCTTCTCTTGCACTCTTTACTTGGAGCCTCTTTAAACCTCTCCCTGCAGCTTCGCTGCTTGAGCCCGTACATTAACAGAAAGTACTCGGGGCTCCAGAAGAAAAAAAAGAATGCAGTTTCTCCTCTTCTGTTTTCTAACTTATCCTCTCCTCTGTTTTGACCTGATTTCTCCAAGAAACATTGCCGTTTCAGAGCTATAGCTTAAATCTGTTCTAAATAAAACAACGATTAACAACATGCCTTCTTCTTGCTACTCTTCACATTCAACTAATCCTCGCCTAATGATTTATTCAAAATTAAAACCATCAGGAAAAAGCAACAATGTCACAAATTGCCACAAAACAAAAAGTCACTATGTCACGTTTCCTTGTAAAGTAGATTAGTTGTGTAAATGAGTATTTACTAACTTCAGATTTACCATGCAGGTTTCTACCACAAAGCTCCTAGTCCTCTGATGATCCCTGGGACAACCGTGGTTCTCTGAAGCGTTTTCACAGCTTTTACAGATGCACCTAAGTGTTTTGACAGCTTTTACAGACGCACATAAGCACTCTTCCTTTGCTCGCTTACAGCGCCACTCAAATTGCAAACCAGGCCCTCATTAGGGAGGCCACAACTCAGATTGCTCCGGCAGCTCCTGCCCTCTCCCTTTGCACTGAGAGGGTCTAACCACATCACCCTCCCGGGGCCTGCTGCAGCGTTGGCCTGCGCTTGTGCATCTGAGCTCCCCTCTACCATTTAGTTCAAAATAATAATAAATAAAGTTCCCCCAACGGTTGGTTGGGGAAATAGCTTCAAAGTGACTCCTTCCCCCCCACACTGTTATAATATAGGAAACTGCTTGAGGCTGTTTACTCAGAAAAAAATCAGATTAAAGTTTTAAGTTACCTAGACGAAGTGGTCCTATTACGGAAAGCGCTGGCAGCCTTTGCAGCAGCCCTACAAGCTACGTCTGCACTATCTGCTTCCTCCTCCCTGTAATGTCCGCTTAGGTTGCGATCACTTTGGTAGGGCCAGTTCTCTCTCATCCAGTAAAGCACTATACAGTGGAAGTATAAATCTCATCTGGACACTCTTAGTTATCATCAGAATATGAATTGGTAATAAATGCATGCCGGTAATCTCAACTGACCAGACTTAGGTATACAATTAAACAGGAATTTAAGTGCTTTACTAAATGGATGGTTTGGTGGTGTGGGCAGTTTTCAGAGCTGAGGAGACAAGGACTTGGGACAAGAAGAGGGTCTCTAGTTTGCTAGTTATTGACAATGCAGCCTTGCCACTGGGGGAGCACTTAAGCTGGGCTTTGGGACAGAAGACAAGGGCCTTGCTGGGCAGTGGACCAGGGCCCCTCGTCATCTTCCCCTTGGCATGGTGCAAATCAAGGTAAGAAACTGATCCACTTCAGACAAACTTGGCATCATGAGATACAACCAGCACAATACTTTTGCTCGATAGTTACACACTACGAATCTTACTGTTCAATACCAACTTTTGCACAGCTTGTTGCTAATGCATATCCAGGTTGATGCGAGTCCCCAGCCCTGGGCATTGCACGCGGGTTAACCTGAAAGCTGCAGCCTCCTAGGCTGGCCCACCTGCCTTCCCTAACCAATACACTTTGAGTTGCTTATGTTGTATAGTTTAACAATATCTTGTTTTCAGGAAAATGGGATTTAATAAAGCAATAATAAAGCAAGGCAATGCCTTAAAAAAAGAGTCTGGTCTGCATTTGGAGAACAATAGGATAAACGCTAATCCTTTGCTTTTCTGAAAACATCTTCATGTTGGCTGAGTCTTTGCATAGTGCTCAGTTACTTGCTTATAAACTGGCTTTTACCAACTCTTCCATCTCCCATATCACTTTCAAGCAACCAATTGAACATATTTCTTATAAACATATCACCCATACATGCCTATATGTATATGCAGCTAATTCAGTGACTTGCCAAAAAAAAAAAAAAAAAAAAAAAAAAAAAAAAAAAAAAAAAAAAAAAAAAAAAAAAAAAAAAAAAAAAAAAAAAAAAAAAGAGTAGTTCAACATTTTATCTTGCTGAGTCATATTAGAAAGCAGACTTTCTATTCTTCAAATATTGAATTTTAGGTACATGAAGAAGATATTCGCCTATGCTATGGTATAAAAGTATAATTTCAAAGCATGAAATGTCCTCATTCTTAATATGGAAATGATTCCCATAAGATACATTAAAACAAACTCAGACTTTCAGCAGGAACAGTCGCTACGCTTGTTCCAGTCAATTCAGATTGCTGCACTGCTTCACTTTTCACTTGTAAGTGCTGACCTACTGATTTTAAAACTGCCTCCTAGTCTGACTAACACTGTGTGTGATAAGGGCAGAGCTGGGTACAAAGTCTCCTTTCTAGAACAAATCTAGATTCTACCAGCTACTCCATAAGGGAAGAGAAGCATATGCTTTGTGACAAGTTATTTCTGAGCGATACAAGAGTTGCCAAATCTACCCTCGCATTCAACAATGCAGCTTTTAAAGCACTTTTTTTAGTTCAAGTTTAACATCAATTCTCTAAGAAACTAGGAAAATAATTTTCTACAGTTTTAGGACAAGAAAGGCTCCCAGCTGTAGAGAAACCATCACCAAAGTGTCCTCACTTGAGTAGCTTGAGGGGGAGTGTTATTAGTGTACGTTTTTCTAGAGTTGCTTTATTATTAAGGCCACACTGCAGTGTTTTCAGTATGCATTGATTATACTGCACTGATGAGGTAGTTACACTACAAATTAGTGGTCCTTTTAAAGCATGAAAAAAAGAAAACACAAACACACAATTAGTGCCCGATACTCGGAGCAGCCATGAGTCAGAAGCGTTTGCCCAGCACCCGGCAGCTGCCTTGCGGATCTGGGGCAGTTTGCAAATATGTTCACACCCACTTTTCTGATACAAGAACAAGGACAGAGGTTAAATGAATTTTTCAAGTCACAACAGTGAATTATCAGCCAATCAACAGAACCTGTTCAAAGTCTTCAAGAGCTCAGGCTGTATCAGATCAAAAGGAGCATCATCTTACAGGCAAAGATGAGGGTTACTTTTCAATAGAAGACGGGGAACATTGCTGCTTTACATACACACAAAAAAAGTGCAAGTATGTAGACTATACAGATCTTAATATATAGACCTTAACTGACACTATTTTCCACTTCTGCTTTTTCCTCCCACAGTTCTCGAACCCTCTTTAATCCTGTTTTCAGCACAGACTGTGTGGTCTAAACATTGTCCAGATATTTCTCTAAAGCACTTGTCGCTACCTGACCAAAAAGGGTCAGGCACGAGTTTAAATTTACAGCTTATAACATAGCTCACCATTAGCAACACTGAACCCACTCGGGATGTTCCGACAGTCATCAGTAAACAGTTACTAAATTAACTACGGTAATCTCAAGCAAAAGCAGCAGTTTGGACTGACAAAAAACTGTGAAACTTGCACAGAAGTCAACTCTGCCAGACGAGAGCGACCTTTGCAGCCGCATCTTCATATAATTGGGGAATAGATATATACATTCTTATGTATCCTAAATTTTATCAAACCAACCTGTTTTTTCACAGAACAAGCTCACAAATAACTTGGATGTAAAGTCAAACTCAGAACTTTGATACTATAATCAAAATTCCACTTAGACGACAGGCATCTAATAATCTCAAAGCAGAACGTTCACTAAAAGAACAATATTGCCTCCCTGCCCTGGTTAGTGACCCTAACATAAGAAAGAGGCAAGCAGTTAAAATGAGAGTCAAACAGTAGAAGAAGAATTAAATACTTGTGAGGGGTGGGCGCTTGTAGATCTTTGATTTAAAATATTTATTTTACCAGTACCAAATAAAAGAAGTTACGAGGCTTCTGAATAATGTTGCAAAATACATTCTATTATGAATTGATCTTACATAGGAATACTGGCTGTGATGCTAAGTAGGGAATATAAAGACCCCAAAATTTGCACATTCCTTCTTAAACATAAGAATACCTTTTAAGAAATAAGTACCGAACATGCAATAATCAAAATTATAAAGCTATACTCTAGTCTTCTCAGCATACTGCAATCAAAGCAAGACTGTAGAAGCTATTTGCTGTAAGTTCTTAAACAGAAAGGAAATTAAAAGACATAGCAGTGAGAGTTTAGCATGTAGGAGCACAGAAATTTGTCAGCCTTGATGTACTACATCCTATGCCCCTCATGAAGTTCTGGCACTCAAATGCAAGGCAATGAAAGCCTGTTTGCCAAGTTACTCGTGAAAGCAGCGGGCACTGCTGGCCCTCACAGCAGCGCTCTACGGGTTCTACGGATCACAAACGTACCAAGGATGTGAACAATGCTATTGAGGTCTTTCTACACAGACTGCCTCTTTTACAATCACTAAATGCCTTCTTAGGGTCTGTTGTGCTTCCTGAGCGTGGAGAAGGAAGACATTACTCATCAAGACATTGTGACAGGGCTTTAAATGCGACCCCGGCGGGAGGGTGGCATCCAGGGAGAGCATTCAGGGCTCGGACGCTTTTGAAACTCCACCACTAGATGAACTTCACAAATCACTATTAATTCTTATACTTGAGGTCTATACAGGGTTTGCATATGATTTTCTTTCTTTCTGTTCAGCCTTTAGCAGCCATGTGTCAACATTTAGGTGGACTTTCAGGAGCCTTAGCCCATATGAAACGGAACTCTGCACATCTGCAAGGAAAACCACTGATTATCTACAAATACATCTTTTTATTCATCCCTATTTCACGCAGCAGGAACTGTTCTGCCTCACTACTACTAGCCACCTCTCCCCTCCATCCCCTCTTTTTTTGGTCATTTTATCTTTCTGGAAGACCAAAAGAGGAAAAAAAAATGCACCTAACACTGTGCAAGTTTACTTTGGACACTCTCAATGGCACATGTACATTTATGATTTTTTTTTTTTTCCACGATGAGCCCATGTAATGTGAAATCACTAGGCTAGGCTGGCAATTTCTCATTAGTCATTCCGTAAAAGTGAAAAAGTCATTTGTTGGACTGTTTATTTTCACAACAGTCTGCCTAAAAATATCACACTTCATATTTTGAAGAAATACATTCAAAAATTAGCATCAACTCACTGCCTCGCCACAGAAAATACCAGTTAAAATATTTTCAGAGTATCTTAAAAATGGCAATCTCAGTGCAGGGGAAAAAAGGCAAGCTAAGAAATCATTGCCACAGTATAAGTCATATGAGAAGCTACCAAACATTTGTTAGAACTGGAAAATAGTTTTAAAGGAGTTACTTTTAGGTTAAGAAAATAGAAAAATATTAAGTGAGTTTCCTGAAAACATATTACACATAGCATAAAAGGTATATCAACATTGATGACTAGGGATTCATTCAGGGAAAGCCACTGCAATAGTTACTGAAATTTGCTTTTACAAAGCAAAAAGTTTTTAGGAGTATTAAAATGATAGGAAAAGAGATAATATTTTAGTATAGCAATATTTAGACGTGAAGACCTGATATTTAGTTAGTCCTTTCTCTTTGAAATACAGTGCTCTGCAGAAGGCAATTCACTACTTCAAGGGAATAGATATTCATATGAGAGTCAGAATAAATAAGCCTACAGAGGTAATAAACTTACTGCTACTGATTTGTTCATTCAAATAGCAATTTTTTTTTTTTTCAAGGAAAATAGGCCATAGCTTATGTGAGTTACGAGGAAAGAAAACAGACTTTACAGTAGCATACAGTACCTGTAACATCCTCAGGATCTGTTACAACAATGTGTGCATTTAACTCCTGCAACTTATGATGCAAATCTTCTAACTTCTTATTTGATTTTTTCAAAATGTTGTCCACATATGCCAAGTTTTTTTTATCCGTTGTGACTTTCCTGAGGTTCTCAGCTCCTTCTTTGATTTTCAGTTCCTTCCTTATTTCTCGCTTGATTTGGTCCTTTACTTCATCCAGCTTCTGCTGTACCATTGTATCTGAAACGTCCAACTTTTGGCCAGTGCTCACATTCTCAGAGACTAGAAGACTTCTGGCATCCCCCTAGAAAGAAAAGCAATACTATGACTATCAGAAACATAGTTTCGTGATGATGAAGATACAACCACACGACTAAGACTGCTGGTCTAAACCTCAGTAATTAAAAGCTCACTTGGTAACACCATGTACTAGCCACAGCTCTACGCTCAGGCTGTTCTAAAGCTACAAGCACACAGGACATTACATGCTAACTACACTGAGGTTGTACAACAGATTTATTTTAAATTCAGTGACATCTTTACTATGCTTATTTTTAGCAGCAAGAGATTTAAATACTTCTGAATGTGTCAAGCCTGCCAGGCAGCTATATGCCTCAGATCCAGTGACCCACATTTGGACTTTTCTAGATTTCATGTGTTCTTTAATAGAACAAATGGGTATGGGAAATAAAACTTAATTCTTACAATTATCTTTTTTTTTTTAAAATACATTCACTGTAAGTTCAGCAAACCCACTCTTTCGAAAGAGTGTAAAAGTTTATGTAACACCCCACAAAACTTAGCCGTGAAGCTTTCGAGTGTTTAAGAAGTGCTGCCATCTTTACAGACAATATATTCTTCAAGATATTAGTGGAAGATATTTTTAAGGAGGTTTTTACTTGCTTTGCATAGACAAGCTTGGCTGAAGTGGAGAGGAAACAAACAGAAAACAAACCACCTCCTTTTGTTATGAACAGGAGCTAATGCAGTAAGGGAACGGCAGGGAGCCGTCAAACCGTAAGAGCAGATGAGGTCGCGGCACTTGAGACATTATTTTATCACAGAAGTAAGAGTACAAAGAGCAAGTTATACAACCTAGGCTGGTAAAAATGCAAGTACAATGTAACATGCAGTAAAACTTCGCGCATGTTTTCTTACAGAGGAACCCTATACAATAAAAAGGCAATAGCTATCGGCTGAGGCTACCTAGCTAGGTGAATGAGGAACTATGAATTCCTGAACTCAGGATCTGATCTCATATTAACTCAGGACCAACTTAGTGAGCATATGGTCTGGGCTGCAAGTGACTACCCGAAAGAGCAAAGACACAGTAAGTTTCCTTAAACATAAATAACATGAATAAACAGGAGATTACCTAGATTCTGTACTTATTGGGGAAGATGGTGAGGTAGTTGAATGAATGATTAAAAATATGAACATTTTTTTCAGCACAAAATTGGTCATGACTGTTTGCTTCAGGAAACACAAAAAGAAGAGAGAAACACTGGGGAAGGAGTGCAAGGTACAAAGAACCAAGATAAAAATTAAGAAATTTCCCTCACAGAAAGGGAGACCTGCAGACATAGTCTACACCAAGTTGTTTTTATACACCAGAGGAACCCCTCTCTTCTGCAGAAGAGAATTATGAAATAAAGGTCAGCAACCTAAATTTGGACCAACATACAAATGTAGTCAGTTACTGCAAGTTATGATATTTCATATATAAGTGCGAAAGCTTTGCAATTCTAATTCTATGATTAACAGCAATAAGGAATTCTCTGCCGTTCTGCGCTACCTGCTCTTGGTTTGTTCTTTCAAGAAGGAGGAGAATTGAGGATAATGAAGGTTGTGCCTGGACCATCCGTGCCCTACCGATAACGTTGATCAAAACATTTACTGTGTTACTACAGTGTTTCTACCCATAGTTATCACTTCTAAAAAATAATTTAAGGGATAAAAACCAATCAGTATCACCACCTTACCACAAAATTTATCTATCAACAGAAAAGAAAAACAAGATGCGAGCAATTTAGAAAAGACAGAGTAAGAAACGCAAAGATAAGATCACGTACATTTATATTTCATACAAGTTTGTGATTCCTGCAAGTACATTTTAACAACTTTTTTCTGTTTTCACTAATATGCATATGTACAAAGGTTATTAATAGTTCTACTGGGAAATGCATCATATCGTTTCCATATGTAGACACATAATGAACCAACATTTGATTTTTACATAGCTATCTTTTTTTTTTTTTTAAAAAAAGAGAATAATCAATAGCGATGAGTGCCTAGTAAAATGTCCCTGTCAATAGTGAAGAAATCCAACTGTTGCCAGCAAGTGATCTGCACTTAGAAACAACTAAAACTGAAAATGAGTTTATACAGTTGCATAACAAACTTTTTGCTGATGCTAAGGTAATGAGTGCAGCCAAACTAGATTTGGCTCTTTGACTTGACTTTCCTTCTTTCAAAATGCCCAGGTGAAAGAAAATGCTAAGACAACCCCCTCGCAACACCGCTGGCTCTATAAAGCACCTAAAGGGTGCTAAAGGAACATGTGCTTCCTAAAATAGGACACTGTAATTAAAATATAAATAATTTAGAAATATTCTAGACTAGGGTTTCCCAAAGAGGCTTTAGTTAATTGTTTATCTATCAATAAGGGATTTTGTTACAAGTGAGGTTTTTATCTCTTTCCTAGCCAAACATCCCACCTGTTACAGGAATGTTACGTCCTTACATAAACAGACCTCGGGAGCCCCTGTTCCAGACATACAGTGTCTCTAGCAAGTCTCCAGTTAAATTGCTTTAATCTTCATAATCATTAGCAATTTGCATTCCAAATTTCCAGTAATTAAGTTTAAGCTCTCCGCAGTTTGAGCCGCCTCAGCAGAACTGTGGAGGCCGCGGCGTTCCCGGGCACGGCGGCTGCCCGGGCAGGAGCTCGGGGGCCGGCCTGCCTGCTGGCACGGGGGTCGCGCGCGCGGCCCCGTCTCCGCGCCTGGCGCACGTGCTGCTGTGCGGGACAGGCCCGAGAAGGATGCGCTACACGGGGCATTCCCCCGGGACCTCTACTTAAGCAATTCCAACCCCTGAAACCTAAAAATTATGTTTGGTTTTTAATTAAAGAAATGCAGGCCTTACTGTCTGCTATGCTAGAGCTGGCTGAACTTCAAGGTGTTCCTGTAGCTTTGCTCTCAAGAAAGCTACACTCCTGCTTCTCAGCATCCACAGGAAGCGACACCTTTGAACTACAAACATCCTGTCCCCGTCACCTCACCTGGCAGGATGGCCACACAGCCAGTCCTGCCACGTGGCCAGGGGCACTGGGCTGCCCATGACAGCAGAGCCTCTGCAAGCACTGGGGTCCTTCTGCTGCCCCCACCACTTTATTTGATGGTACTTACTTTAACTTATTACAGGTCTCTTCTCCGAGCTGAACTTAGCTTAAAAGAAAAAAATAAAAAGAAAAAGCTTCTCTTCCTCTCTTCCTTATAAACTCCCTCCTAGGTTGGGCCTCCCATCTGTTTGGAGAAGTGTTCATCCTCTCAGCCAGAGGGCTAAACATTTCCAAGGAGTACAGCAGGAGCCCCCCCTTTCCTTTCTCCTGTTCAAACAGACAAGCAGAAATCATCTACAATTCCCACGCCCAAAAGTCATCAATAGATTTTACGCAGCCGCTTCCTCCACTCTCCCTCCCAGAACCATTTAGCATAAAACACGTTAAGAGTGGAAACGCTCTCAATTAAGCCATGACTAAACCACTCCTGCTGGCAGAAGAGAGAACAGGTCCCACTGCTTTAAAATCTAATTAAGACCAAGGGTGGGAGAGCCAATGCTTGATTTTCCTTTGCACATTCCGGCAGCGCGTCCCGATGGCCGGTTGGCAGAGGCGGCCACCCCGGAGCGCCGCCCCGCGCCCCCCTCTGCCCTGCGAGGCGCCCGGCCGCTGCCCCGGCCGCTGCCGCCCGGCCGCGGGCAGAGCCATCGCGGGCGGCCGCCGCGCCTCTCTGCACTGCGAAAACACACGTTTGCGAGCCAGACCGGGGATTCCTGATGCCTTTTACCATGTAATGAAACACAAGTTGCATTTAATACTATAGACTCCCACAGACCACAAATTGGATACTATGGCTTTTAGAAAAAAAATTATATATAGAAAACCACATATATAGCTATCCTACTGCAATGGCCTAATGACTCAACCTCACTTTGATTGCTGGCTCAAAGACCATCTATTTATACAGATGAATTCAAGATGCCAGCCTTCAATTTCTGCACTCGGAGGAAATGCTTTAAGTATAGCTGCGGAAAGTAATGGGTAGTGGTCTGAGTATCTGAGCAGGTCTTCTAATAAGAGAGCCTATTCTGGCTGATGGGGTGGAAGAGACCAGCAATGCTGTTTGTGAAAGCCATCAAGGCCTTGTGTGCTTCTCAAATCAATTTTGAACCAAAGAGTGAATGTGCCTGGTGTCTTGCCAAGCAATTTGCGAGCAAAACTCCCATTTAGGAATAAGACCTCTAAATTACTAAAAGACAGAAATGCGATGCTGCAGTATAAAAGGGATTGCTGTGAAGCTGAATATATCAAGGAATCTGCCTCAATTGTTGTGTCTACTGGAGCACTTCCAATTAAAAAACAGTTTCTCCAAGTGCCACCTGCTGAAAGGAAAAGACAACCTCAAAACCTTGGGCATTACCAAGTGGCAAAGGCTCCCTTCCAAGAGCACAGTAGAGCACACTTACCCAGTGTCCTCACCCTGGAGAGCACGGGCCAGGCTAAGCATTCAAGGCACTGAGTTTGGTAGAATTACTTACAGAAATACAAGCCGAGCCTTAAACTACAGCCTGCTTCACAGCTGATGAGAACGTTTTTACACTATTATTTCGACTTCATACTGAAGCGTGCATTAAATATGCCTTCAGAAAAAGACTGTATCCTCAAAACCTCAAAGTAAATTTACACATATTTCTTAAAAGAATTAGCATTCACTTTCCTATTCTCTTGAATTCCAGGAGCCATTTTATTATCTATTGAAACACTAAGAAAACCTGTTAAACAAGTCTTTAATAATCAAAAAATGCCCATTTAACACAAGCTTATTAACCCTAGATAGAAAAGGATGATTGTTGTTTCACACACAATTTAAGAAAAGCACCATTATTCAAGACAAAAAAAGTTTATTCATTTTTTCATTTCATACTGAAAAGCTGCAAAAACAGATTTGAGGTACTTTGGTCTGTCAGGATACTTTTCTGATTAATCTTTTCTGTTAGGAAAAAGTTGTTTTTTCTGAGGTC